CATGTGTTCATCGTGTGCCCGTTCCAGGAACCCGTCTCGCTTGACAGAGCTATGCCATCCAATCTCTCCTGTATCGTTGAGAGAAACGGGGTATCGGGCCTTCCCTGCTCCTCCTGACCATTCGAAATCGACCAATCTTGCGCGCCAAGTCTTGTCCTCCTTGACGCACATAATGTTCAGTTCCCTCAGATCTCCATGAACGAGGCCAGAGGCGGCTAGGTGTTGAACAGCTCGACTGAGATCGTTCAGAACCGAGTCTTTCCCTTCCGACGGCACTTCAACAAACGGCTTTCCATCAACATGATCCATCACAATAAGCCAGAAGCTGTCATGATAGACCTGCTTGGCGTGAAATAAGGCGGGAGCAAGTCCTGCCTTCGCAAGCAGTTCGTGTGCCTCGACGCCATACGTGTGACTGAATTTCACGACACATCGTTTGGAATCGAACTCTGTTCGGAAGAGAGGCCTCGTCCGTCCGTCATCGCCTTGGACAAGAATGTCTTGAAAAACGAGCTGATGTCCATCCAATGGTAGTGAAGTGGTATCAGGAAGGCGAGCACTCAGCATTGAAGTTTGGCTCGGTGTGACTCTCTGATAAAACAACTCGAGCGAGGCAATGCTCTCCTTCAGACATCGAAAGAGATGTGCCACTTCGCAGATCCGTGCTTCTAGGGGATAAGAATTGACTTCGAGCGAGATAAAATTCTTCAATGCTTCTGTCGTTGGCTCGCCAGCGAAGACAATGCCAGAGACGCGGATGAATGGGCCCGCGATCACGATGAGGAATGAGGGGGAGCAACTCACATTGCGCAGATTTTTACGCTACCAATTGATGTTAATGCCAGTCACAATCCCAAGTTAAGGACTTACTCCACGCTGAACCCACATCCTCCTTGCAGTCGCCGCAATATAATTGTTCACCTCCGAGTCTCCCATTGAGACCTCTACCCTGTGGACAAAGAATGCGATCTCTGTCTGCAAGCCTTCGTCGTCTCCCACACGCACCCGTATGCAGTCGCACGCAACGGTTCTGTCATCATCCGAGGTCCAATGCAACACCTTGTCCAGGAGGCTGTCCATAACATCTTGGATGAGTGCGGAGCGGTCATTTGCATTAGTATAAATTTCGTTTGCTTCATGGATAAGCATATGCGCCAGGGAATACTCCTTGGGGGTGATCGAGTCAAAGTTTCTTTTGCACAAGGATGATTTGAATATTTCGAAGATAGGGGCATATATGCCGATGGGATGTCCGAGGCAGTTGGCAGGCCGGCCTGTTAGAATCGGACCAGTAATCTGTTCATATCGCCACTCTCTGGGAACCGCGGCCTTAGACGGTGCATTCGCCTTACGACCAAAAGATACTGCGCGTTCAAAAATCTCTGTAAGCAGAGCGGGATAAGCCACATGATGGCGCGGCGAGAAGCACAAGGAGCGCACCTTGGACAGTGGAAGGTTCCACTTCAGCGCCTGCTTCACGCCGATTCTCTCCAAGCTCATCATCCCTATGCTCCGATAATGCTGCTGATCTCCTTTCAACTATGCAGATACTCATGTGCCAAATATTCAGACGCTGGACCTGGAAAATAGGTACCTACCTTTCACCAGGCAAAAAGAGACGAATATTGGCCTGGTTAAGGAAACAACACAGTCTCTTACAAGTTCGAACTGGGCGACTGGGGGATTCCCCTGAATCCATTTCTCATCAAACTTTACATCGCGTGTATACACAACGTGGTCCAGCTAGACACCACAGATCTTAATATGAATGCTTGTTGGATTGCAAGTGAGAGGTAAACATACCTGGTACAATTGTATGTACGCGCTTGCAGAAGGTATGCTAAGATCATTCATACATTCGGTCATCAGTTCGGATATATCCATATTTTCTTCGACGATCTTGCTAATGATCCTGTTTTCATTCTTATGGAATATATAGATCTTGAGCATTTTTGAAAGGGAGAGTGTGTGAATTATGCCACATCCCGAGCGCTTACGGAAATAATTCGTGTAGCACAGCCTCCTTTTTGAGTGCACGCGAGCGCCCCCTTCGGCACTTGAAAAAAGTTCATGCCGCTGACGGGGTCAATTCTTTCCCTAAACCGCTCACACCCGAATATCTCTTCACCTCACCCGCTTTCACTTCAATCCATCTCAGTCTCCTGCTCGACGTCTACCCTCTTCATCACTATGCTACCAAGACCAGCACTCGCTCAGATCGCACGTCGTCAACTAGCACGCACGGTCACCCGACCACTGGTCTTCCAGCGAACAGCCCCATCGGCGATTAGGCCCACTTTACAAAGCCCCATCGCTCGCAGGTGGTATTCTGAATCATCCAAGTCTGAAGAGGCAAAGGCAAAATCCGATGAAGAGGTAGCAGATGCTGTTGGGAAGGCTGCTAAAGAGGCGGAGAAAGAGGGCGAGGAGCTCATGCAGTTACTAAAGAAGAAAGACGAGGAGATCGTCGACCTAATGGTCCGTCAATTGCGTCCTCTTGACTCACTTCTCAGGGTCTAATATGTTCCCAGAGTCGATTACGATATTCTCAAGCCGACTTCCACAACCTGCAAAGGATGTCCAAGCTCGAAAAGCAAAAAGCGCAGACATATGCCGTCACCGCCCTCGCAAAGTCCCTGCTCACAACACTTGACAACCTGCACATGGCTCTTCACTCTATCCCCGACTCTATCCTCGACGTCTCTAAAACTGCTTCAAGCGCAGCAAAGAAACCAGATCCAGAATTCTTCACTCCTTCGACCCACACCAGCCTCAAGCAGCTGCATGAAGGCGTAATGCTCACACGCAACTCGCTGCTTCAAGCCCTCAAGTCGCACGGAGTCGAACCATTCGATGCCAAGGGCGAGGCTTTTGACCCGAATTTCCATGAAGCGTTATTCGAGGTACCTGTGACTGATGAGATGGAGGGCAAAGTCGTCGAGGTCATGAAGGGCGGGTACAAGATCGGTGATCGGGTGTTGCGTGCAGCGCAAGTCGGCGTGGGGAAGAAGCAGGCATAGCCCATCTATGTCTTCTTCCATGCTGCACGCTCTGCACTGCACATCGGCGATCGAGCGCGGTTTAAGAATGCAGAGGGGAGTGTAGACATTATTTGAAATCTACCATATTCACTACTCTCAATAACATCAACACCCTTTTTACCTAATTTCGACCGCGAGACGCGCCGTCAACGCCGCCTTGATGTCATCTGTCACCTTATTCACCTCTGCTCTCTCCACGCTTCGCTCCATGCTACGGAAGGTGATTCTCACCGCTAAGCTGCGCCTCCCGTTCCCCTCGTGCCAGAAATCGTCAATCAGCTTGACGTCTTCCACCAGATCTCCCCCAACTTCCCGAATAATGTCCCACAGGTCGTTTTCTTCCCAACCCCCCACCTCGCCTCCCGCCGCCTTCCCACCAGGGTGAGGCCTACCCATACCGAGCGGAAGCCAGAACGCGACGTCCCTCTCGCTCAGGGGATACTTTGAGAACTCCTGGAACGTACTCAGCTGTCCGTCCTTGAACTGCTTCCAGAACCTCTCGTCCTGGCTCCAGAACAGCCTGATGTCCGGAACGCCGAAGAGAGGCATAGCGATCCTCTCCAGGCCCATGCCAAATGCCCAGCTCCGTTCGTCCACAGGGTTGTGACCCGTACGTGCGATGGTCGCGTCGAGTACAATCCCACAGCCTAGGAGCTCAAGCCACGCATCGCGGTAGCGCACCTCGAGTTGGAATGAGGGAGACGTCCATGGGAAGATGTCGGGTGTCCAGCGTACATGAAGTGGGTCACTTGAGGGAGGAAAGATGGACAAGAACAAAGTCGTGATTCGCAGCTTGAGATTTTGGGCCATAGGGAGCACCGTCTCCGGGAGATGAGAGGATTGCAAGGGGTTCGTCACGGGGTCAAAGTCCAGACAGTCTTTCATGATGATTTTTGAGTCGGCGATACGGCGTCGTAGCTCGTCGTTCTCTGCTCGCAGCTTGTCCATATCTACGAGGTTGACAAGCCGGGCACCTTCGGTCTGGTGGAAAGCAGGATAATGACTCCTGTCGATTTCGTCTCTCCTGTATACATCCGCTGTGCATAGCCAACCACCGCTTTTCGGTGTCTCCCGGTAAATATCCACCTCGTGCGCGCTCGTATGCGTGCGAAGCATGACACCTCTGTTGATGTAGTAGCTCTGACCCCTTTCACGGCCGGGGTGGTCAGGTGGGAACCCGAGCGAATCAAAGTTTAGTTCGGGTGTGACGACCGCGGGGAGATTGTCGTAGCATTTGAACCCCTCGAAATGGCCAGCGATGAGCTTGCGGATCGTGTTGAGCGGGTGAGGAGGGGTGACATGTAGACGTCGTGCGAGAAGTGCGGCAATGGTCGGTGGGAGGTTGGTGTAGTCATCTGTTGGGTAAGTCTCTCCCAGGACAGTGATGGTTTGCGGTGAAGGTGTGTGGATATTGCGGGTATTTCTTGGTATTTTTTGTGCAAAGAGCACCCTCCATGGCCGTACTTTGACAACCTTGAGCATGGTGACTCGTTTTGGATTTCAACTTTCAACAATGACTTTGGACCCTGACAAAAGGGAGAATCTATCGGAGCCGAGGATAATCCATATGAAAAGCTTCCGGACAGTGACGGCAAAATTTAGTATGCAATGAGCGCTTCTTGCATACACACCTCTCTCCCCTTAAACCACTCGCGATGGACGTCGACGAGCCGTCCCCGCCGCCTGCAAAACGTCTAAAGACGACTCGAGAAAGAGCAACCAAGCAGCATTCAAAACAGAGCATTTTCGCCCCATTTCGCGCCTTGGGTCTGGTGACGAACCATGTGCCCTTCGCCGTGCAGCTTCGCTCCTACAAAGGGTCGACAGAAGGGCCTCAGATACACATATTGACGTGCATTGGTCAGAGCTGGCTTCTCTGGGAAGGGGGGAAGATGAGGCTGCTGTTCGTTGGTCAGGAAGCTCCGTTACCGCTCAGTGCGGTCGCATTCGACGCTGTGGATGGGGACTACATCTGGGCAGCTGCTGGTCCGCATCTGATCAAATATTATCGCGGCAAAGAGGTGAGCCCTGAGAATCACGGTTCCAATTGTTTAGACTCACTTGCTTCAGGTTACTCGGATCACCAGCCCAGAAGAGGTTAATATCTCTCAAATTCTCTGCTTTGGCTCGCAGATCCTCGCACTTTCAGAAGATGGATCAAAATTGTTCATATGGCACACCCCTGCAAATGGTGCGCTCGTATAGCAACTGCTTCGACTATATCCTAATGAAGTTTTAGAGCTATATACAACGATCGATTTCCCGCCCGATTTCACAGCCACGCATCTGCTACATCCGGCCACCTACTTAAACAAGGTTTTGATCGGTTCTGCGCAGGGTGCCTTGCAACTATGGAACATACGCACTCGGTGAGCTCTAAGCACCGAGTCGTTGCAGCTGTTCTCATATATCCAAAGAACGCATCTATTCACATTCCCGTCTTCTCGCTTTTCATCCGCAGTGGGGTCACACGCCGTGACTTGTCTGGTCCAGTCCCCCGCTGTCGACGTCGTTGCCATAGGCTTCTCATCTAGCCAAGCGATAGTCTACAACATCCGAACCGACGAGTCTATTATGAAGCTGAGCATGGCGAGCGGTGGTATTCGTGCAATGGCATTTCGTTCAGGTGAGTTGCCTCCACCTCTTCCCCCCCTCCTTCTCCATTGAATGCTAGTCCTAAACCGGAAGGCAGACAACGAGCCAATACTGGCTACTGCTTCTTCTACCGGTCAAATAGCGACCTGGGACTTATCTAAGTCTGCACGACTGGTTCATTTGTCCCGGATGGCGCATGGGGCTGGGGTGACAGCGCTCTATTTCGTCCCTGGCCAGCCGCTTCTTCTGAGCGCCGGGGAGGATAACAGTGTTAAGGTGAGCTTACTTTTGATCTTCATGATGATAACGCAACTCATGCATTTGCAGCAATGGCTGTTTGACTCACCACTGGCCCCTCCTCGATTTCTCAAAGGTCGCAGCGGGCACAGTCGTTCCCCGCATCTCGTTCGCTACTACGGTCATGATGGGAAGAATATTCTCACTGCGTCCGCCGACCGCTCCCTTCGATGCGTCTCCGTCGTGCGGGACTCGCGAAGCTTTGAGCTGTCCCAAGGCTCGATCGAGAAGAAGGCGTCTGCGATGCATATATCCGCCGATGAGTTTAAGCTCCCTCCTGCGATTGCGATCAGCTGGTCAGAAACGCGTACCAAAGATTGGGACGATATTATGACCGGGCATGGGGAAGCCGGTGCTCGGAGTTGGTGGCTGCTGGAGAAGCGGATAGGCAAGTTTTCCTTTGGAGCTGGGAACAGAGGTAGCGGCCCGAGCGTGAGTGGGGTCAGGGCGGTGTGCGTAAGCGCATGTGGGAACTTTGGCCTGGCGGGCACAGAGGATGGGAGCGTGGGGATGTGGAATTTACAGAGCGGGATTCTAAGGAAGTCGTTCGACTTGACCAAGCCCGTGAAGGGGGAAAAGAAGAAGAAGGCAAAGGAATCGGAAAAGATTGTTACGGGCATCGTCACAGATGCGCTGAACAGAATGGTTGTCGTCTCGACATTGGCTGGGACTCTCCATGTATGTCACTTAATTTCCAACATTTTGTCAGGCAGCTTACAAATTCAAGTTCTTCGATTTCTATACCACGGAGCCGCAAGCAGTGGTCACCCTACCGAGTGCTGCAGTTTCGGTTGTCTTACATCGTGGAAACAACATGCTGGCTGTTAATTGTGAAGACCTCGTCGTACGAATACTGGACATTGAGACGCGACGGACCGTACGCGAGTTGCGGGGTTTCAAGGGGAAGGTTTTGGACTTGGTACGCAGCAATGTGCCTCATTTTCCTCACGCTTCTTATTTTGCTTCAGGCATTCTCTCCGGATTCAAGATGGCTTATTACCACCTCACTCGATTCCATCATCCGTACATTCGATATACCCTCTGGATGTCTCATCGATGCGTTCAGAGTCAACAGCATTGCGACCAGCTTGTCCTTCTCTCCTACGGCAGACTTCCTTGCTACCTCCCACGTTGACAGTGTTGGGTTGTACCTGTGGTAAGTCTCAAGATTGCTGGGGTGATTGGATCTGACAGCATTGCAGGACGAATCGTGCACAATTCACAGAGGTTATCACGAAAAGTGTGCAAGAAGATGAGATTGTTGAGCTTAATCTCCCATCGATGCAAGGCGTCGATGAGGCGGAGGGTCTCGAGGCTCTTGAAGGCGAAATTCTCCCGCCGTCCGACATCTACGCCACACCACAGCAACTTGCTGACGGCCTCGTCACGCTAACCCTGCTGCCTCATTCACGATGGCAGACATTGCTCAACTTGGAGACGATCCAACAACGAAACAAACCAAAAGAGCCTCCAAAACCTCCTGAGAAAGCACCGTTTTTCCTGCCGACGCTGCCAGGGACCGAGCAGAGGTTTGCGCTGGATGCGCAAGCACCTGACAAGGGTACTGGAAAGATGCATCTAAACAGAGGCGTGCTGGCGTCGGTGGAGAGCGAGTTTGTGAGAAAGCTCCTGGAGGAGGACAACAATGGAAAGTATGAGTTGTTCTTCAATTACGTCAAAGCCCTCTCGCCTGCCGCAATTGACCTAGAGCTCCGTTCGCTCTCGTCCACAAAACACCTCGTCCTCTTCATTCATGCGCTGACACAACGATTATCCACGCATCGTGACTTTGAAGCAGTGCAGACGTTTGTCGACGTCTTCCTGCGGATACATGGCGATGTCCTGATCGTGAACGAGGAGACGATGGGGCCGCTGCAAGAGTTGGCAGAGGTGCAGAAGAGGGAAAGTGAGAGGGTGCTCGAGCTGATCACTTCTAGTCTTGGTACATTATCGTTCGTCCGGCAGGTCGCATAATTGTATTTCTACTCATATCTTCCCGTGGTGCTCGTCACTCTCTGCTGGTTAGTTGCCGATCTGTGTATAATCCACCCGTCCTTCATTGACACCCACCGGTCTGCTTAGTGTTCACCACATACACGCCTTGCAACCATTGTCCATGACCTATCAAACAGGGTATGCGCAGTGGGACAGCTCGTCAGCAAAAGGCTGGTAACTAATAGCTGGGATGCGGTGAATCAAAATGTGATCTCCTACTATTTCCGACGGGGATCGAACCCGTGACATTCGCATGTCAGGTTGCCCATAAGTACGATGCACTACCACTGTGCTACGGAAACACATACCTGATCGGAGTCAAACTTGGGATCTAGTTTACATCGGTGCACGCCACAAGTGTATGGTTTCACCGAGAAGCCGAAATGTGTTCGGCCATGCTTGAGAAATGGAAGAGGTAACTCAGGTGGCAGGCGTGAATCATGCTGATCGAGTGCTCGAATCCAGACGCGATAGAGACTCCAGCGAACGAGAGGAGTAGGAGGAGCAAACGGAAGTGTCCGCAAGTTCCGGTACTTTTGAGTTGACAGCAGGGTCGGTGCAGAAGCACGAAGTCATCTGGCGCCTATTATGCGTGATCAGAGGATGTCCTTGCGTCACATTGGCTGGTACGTACGTACCGAAGGATGATATTCCACGACTATACATCGACAGCATCGCTCCTTGTCTTGACACTCTCGGAGCCTAGCCTGTGTGTGTTCGCCCACACGGTGGCACGAAACACTAGAACCACAGGGTCAAGGATGATAGGCCTTTCCGTTCCCATTCGGGACTTTGCACCGTCCTTCTCCACCTGCAGCAACGCGAAAAGCTGCGCATTCATGAAGCACGTCTCGTTTCGCCTACTTTCTAGACCGAGTGTCGTAGAAGAAAACGTTCGATAGTCCTGTGCTTCTACTTCATCACGAGGAACCTCCATGGGCAACGGAGGTGGGACAGGATCAGAAGCTAGAGGCCTGGAGGAACAATGAAAGACGTAAGGGAAACGGGGTAGGAGGTAGGAAGAATGAAGGGCAATAACACGTATGTCAGCACGGGAAGTGGTGAATTCAGCAAGTACGCGAAGAGTTCGTTGAATCGGTGACTCTGCGGCAAGGTCAGATGATTATCATGACAGAATAAAGACGTGCGCACGCTTCATTCCCCGATCTGCTCTTGTGTTGTGCCAGAATGGCCGCGCATTCCAAAGACGTGCAAGGTACACACACCTTAGACAACCAGAGCGAGGAAATTGATGATGGGCGATGAGGAACCGCTCGACAATGTTCACGAGGTATTTGCAGGTGCCGATATACGGTGCCTGAATGCGGTATCTTTGAGAAGAATGCGGACTTCGAATGTGGACGCCGAATCGGACGGATAGACACGCTGTGAAAACAAATGTAGGAGTGAGTTGATCCCACGACACCAGAGCACATCGAGGTTGGAATCGGGGTAACCGTGCCGGCAGGTACGAAGGGACAGCGGCGTGTCAGTTCCTACTGGGTATTGTTCGCCTCGTACCCGTATTGACCTAAGATTTAGTCCAATGATCAATGCTTGCCAAATATTGAAGGCATGTCGGAAATTCGAAGGGCTCCTGAGGAAGGAAACCGCACGAGCAAGGTCCGTACAGATAGGAGAAGAGCATTGCCAACAAGTCGGGATCAGCTGCTGCCGCATGATCCCCACGCGGCATGAGGTCCGTCAAAAGCCGCCGGGTGCAGTTGTCGTTCTTGTTGGATCTTTCACGCTCGAGATGTTGATTAGGTTGCTAGCTGACTCGATTGCATGTCGTGTCGCCTGGTGAGAAGCAGTCTTCCAAGCCGCTGTCGATAACAAATGCATCCAAAGCTCAGTCCAAACTAGGGTGTTGAGCATGCGTGCGTGTATTATTCTTGCGCGAAACACGATTGCCATTATCGCTCGAAACTTCGCTGAGAGAACCCAGGGCTGTACGATTTGCGATGTAGAATCATTTGTGGAATCCGCGCTAGGTGTGCGATGGATGAATGGAGAAGTCTTCTGAGCGTGTTGTTTGTGCAAGCGCGTCCACGTGTGTAGACGATGGTCTTCTCCAGCATGCGTTGGAGAATCCGAAGTTGGAGAAACACTGATGGAGGGAGGCGCACCCGTCGGGTCGAGTTACCGGGAAAGGGAAGGATGCTTCGCAGGTTCTGGTTCCTGCGGGGCGGGCGGGCAGGGAATTCTTCCTGCCGGTGAACCTGTGAACACGCTATGAATAGGATTAACCCGGATCTTGCCTAATATCTGTGAAGTCCGACCAGGAGAGCGGTGGTCTAAATTACAATGTATCGAGCTGATGACGTGTGAATATATTCAGTTGTTCTTCCAAGTTCCGGCGTTGTGATTGTGGAGGGATATGTTGGGGAGACTAAAAAACGGGCGAGATGTGGGAAGTGAATGACCCCGGGTAGACGGAAGTAAGTGATGTAATTGGTAGAACACGTGTTCGATTGCGCGATAAGCTTGGCTGTGGGTATTGTGCCTGTTGTGGATGTATGTATGTGGAAATGTAGATTGATAAATGGTAATATGGAGGATGAGAGAGAGTGAATGAGGAAGATGTTTCTGGTGAAGTGAAGAAGGAAGAGAAGGAGAGAAGAAGGAGAAGAAAGAGAAGAGAGAGAGTGGAGGGATGAGAAGAAGACGGAAGCTGAAAAGAGGGGTGTGACAGTGAAAGTCTAGACAGGCCTCGGTGTTGAATCGAGGCCATTCGTCTCTCTCTTTCTCCCCCCTCACCCCTCACTCCCTCTCTGCCCCACCTTCACAAGGGTCGAATTTCCTTCATCGTCCCCTTCACTCTCTGCGCCCTCTCTCCCGCCGGTGAGACATCTCCACCCAAATCATGTCAGCATATCCCCCTTCAAGAGGTTATCATTACTCCTCGGCACAACCATCGGCATCCACTCACTATCAAGCTCCTCCTGGTCCTCCTCCTTCTCATCAACCACCACCACCAGCTCCTCCTCCTCCTCAACACCACCACCACCAACAACACCATCAACCTCCTCCAATTCGAACTTCTTATCCAAATGCATCCATGCCTCCACAGAGCGCTCAGTCACAGTACTCAGCTCAGACTTTACCCCCCATAAGCGCTTCTTCTCGCCACTTACCATCAACTCAGCTACCAAGTCCACACATGTTGACAATGGGCGCTCCTTACCCTCACCAGCACTACCCCCAGCCTCACTCTGCCCATCCACAATCAGCACGCTATGCAGGCGGTCTACCTACCCCAACCTCCTCTGCACCCGCTCACCACGGTTACTCCGACCATGGCTCACGTACGGCTACCCTACCTCCTCCACGTCCCTCGGGTCAAGCCCAGCTACCACCACTAGCTGAGAGCAGAGCGAGCACATCAGCGAGTATCAACGCGGCTGCTGCCGCTGCCGCCGCTCAACTCAAGGACGACGACAGTCTGCCTGCAACGAGTGACTTTGTAAAGAAGCTTTTCCGGTTAGTTCCTCCTTATAGCCGCTTGTTCACATGCTCATTCATCACACAGCATGCTAGAGGATCCCAGCTTCTCCAACGTCGTATCATGGAACCCCGTTGGGGACGCCTTTGTCGTACGCGACATGACAGAGTTCACCAAGACCATCCTGCCACGGCTATTCAAGCACTCGAACTTTGCCTCTTTCGTCAGGCAGCTCAACAAGTACGATTTCCACAAAGTCAAGAACCCCGACGACACATATGGAGAACACGTGCGCCTTCCTCCTTTCTCGTTATAAGATCGATTCTCATCATAACCTAGAGCTGGACCTTTCAGCACCCAGATTTCCGTGCCGACCGAAGGGATATGTTGGAGAACATCAAGCGCAAGGTCCCTGCAGCGAAGAAAGCACGGCCGAGTACGCCAACTGTTGCACCCAGTCCACCGGCAACGAACGGTACCTCTGCACATGGAGCAAATGGTGTGCATCCTGCATCGCCCGTGGCTGCCAACGTACCATCCTCGAGTACTGCGACACCCCCGAACGGCAGCGTCATCCCCGCGTCTGTTTCTTCCCAACTAGCTCAACACTCTTCCCACATTTCTCAACACTCTTCCGCCATTTCCATACTTCAGAACCAGGTAGTAGAGCTCACCCGAAACCTCGAGGGTGCCCAGCGCCAAATCAGCGAGCTCACGAGCTTGTACCAGCGCAATCTGGATGAACTCATCTCGGTGCGACAAGCACTAGCAGAACAAGACTCGGTAGTGGGAGGCATCATGGGCTACACAGTGAGAAACACAACAAAGGTCGAGCCTGTCGTGAACGGCATCGGCCACCCGGTACAGAGGTACCAGAACGGCCAGTATGCTGTGCAGATGAATGGTCAGATGCATGCTGCTGTTCAACAACCTATCCCGCAACAGCAGGTCATGCAGCAGCAACAGAGCGCCCACACGTCTCCAGCACATTCCCCTTCCTCCGCTCGGGCAAGGAATGCTTCGCTCATGGAAGCAGCTCAAGCCCAAGCAGCAGCACAAATGCAGGCCCAAGCAGATGCACAAGCCCAATCAGTGCAAGCAGCTCAGATGGCTCAGATTGCGGAGGCTCAGGCTCAGGCTCATGCACAGATGCAGGTTCAGGCTGCACACGCACGTGCCCAGGCCCAGGCGAACGCAGAGGCCGTTGCTGTCGCTCAGGCTCAGGCAGCGGCACACGCCCACGCTCAGGCTCAGGCAGAAGCTCACATGCAGATGAAAACGGACCCTGGGATGGCTAACGCGTATGCAGGGATGCCGGGAAGTGCGCAGACCTCGCCTACTCATGTCAACCCTCAGGCGACTCTGGCGGCCGGAGCTCAAATGCAGATGACAGGGATGCCAGCGGAGATGCCTCAGATGGAGCAGGCAGCTATGCCAGTTCCTGCTGCGAATGCGGACCCTGCTTATGGGATCAACAACCTCGTCCCCGACCCTTCTACCGTCGCTGCGATGGGCGCTTTGCCCCTGACGCCGGGATCATTCAGCAGAATGCAGGCTGCCGTTGGTATGCTGCCAGACCTCACGGACGGGCTGGGGAACCCATCGATGCAAATGGTTACTCCTGCGGATTTATTCTCCTCCCTGGGCAACACCCTTGGAGCCCCGCTTTCGCCAGGAACGATGGAGGCTCTTGGGTTCGAGATGCCCATGTTCACTCTACAGGATTCAAACGGCGCACCAGTAGTGAGCGTTGGCCCGATCCTGCAGACAAACTCTTCGTCCAGTTCGCCCCCCTCCAAATCTCCCCCAGGGTCTGCAAGCGGCCCACGGCCACAGGCGTCGAAAGTCCGCAGGTTTAGCAAGTCCAAATCGAGCATACCTGTCATTCTGTGGAACCAGACGCCAAAAGTGCTCGTGGTGGATGACGATATTGTTTCCCGTGGGCTCAGTAAGAAATGGCTAAGTAAGTTCGGGATCGACGCTGCTGTGGCAAAGGATGGAGCGGAAGCTGTGCGACTTGCCCAGACCAGAGAGTTCAACCTGATGTTGATGGTGAGTCTGTTGGGTTAAGTGGAGAAACCTGCTCAGACCGGATTGTTCAGGATATCGTTATGCCTGTTATTGACGGTATCGGCGCAACCAATATGATTCGCCAATTTGACAGAAGCACACCGATTGTTCCGATGACAAGCAACGATAGTCCGGCGAACCTGGCATCCTACGTCTCCCACGGTCCGTCCTCATGTTTTCGTATTGATGCTCTGTTTGCTGACTTGTGTGGTAGGTATGACCGGCATTTTACGCAAGCCATTCAATCGGGATTCCCTCCTTGCCCTGCTTGAGACGCATCTCCACAGACTACAGGCCCGCGACGTGCATTTTCCTCCTGATCGACCTCCATCCCCATCTCGGCCCTTGGTTCAAGCGAGTATCACCGAGATCGAGGACGAGTCTGACGAGGAGGATACGGAACAAGTCAAGGCCACGCCGTTGGGTGACGTAAAGAAGAACCTGTCAAAAGAGGAATTTGGCCGCGTCCTTGCCAACCTTCGAGGATTTGGTCTCGACCTCACAGCAGGCAATCCTGTCAATCCCGACAGCACCCCCGTTATGCAGACATCAGTCTCTCAGAACAAGCGTGTTCTCGTGGATGCTGAAATGCCCGAAGCGAAGAGGCAGCGATTCCAAGTAATGCAATGATGCAATGATGATGGCCTTTTTTGTTGGAATCTGGTTCACGGCGGATTGTTTTATTTACCCCAAGGCGTTCCTTATTTGACGACCACCCGCAATAGCGATGGGATTCTGTATTCCACCCCAGATTACATTCACCCTGTAGCGGATGAGATCAATGTACTGCTGTAGCGACCAAATCAACTCTTAGGATGTAGCCATACTACGACAGTGCCACCTGAACCTTGTTGTTCCAGCACTTAAGTTGATAATCCAGAATTATGGGTACGAGATCTCTCAGCCCAAAGTCGGGCCAGTACCCGGGGGTGAATTGTATTTGAGTGGTGTCGCAACTCTGTCATCAACGAATTAGTTGTGAGTACAGAACCCCCGTACGCACATACCTGCCACAGCAGGAAATCGCTCAATCTGTGCACCCCGCTTGTCCTCACGAGGATATCTAAGGGTGGGCTGCCCCGAGCATTGGTCTCAAGATAACGGTCGATGTCGTGCTCGGTGATACCGCTCAACAAACGTCAGAGTACATAATCAGGGGAGAATCAGATACCTACCTCTTCTTCTCATCAATTACCACGCGTACGGAGGCGGCAATCTCGTTGCGGGACGCATACGGCATGCAGATGTTAAGAATCGCCCTGTCGGAACTGTAAGCAACATGTTCGATTCTGAGTTCGGTGTATATACCTGTCAGTTTTTTCCGTCATCGTCTCCACCTGCTGGGCGATCTCTTGTACATCCTGAGGAAGCATGCCCCGCTCGCCGATGACGTTTAATCGCACACCATACTGATCGAGTAATTGTCTAACATCGGTCAGTAAGCTTTCGAGTATAAACCCAGCGAAATGTGCACCCTTTCCGACTGATCTCAATCAACTTCTCTCGCAGCAGTTTCATGAGTGCGTCCACTTCTTCCGGCGTTCGATTGAAGTTCTCAATGGCGAACGCGTACACAGTGACGCATTTAACACGCAATTTCAGCAGGCACTCCAAGATCTTCGAACAAGTTCAGAGCATGACCTATAGAATATGTGAATACGCACCCTCTGGAGGGAAGCAAAGCCATCGGCGTGTCCTTCTTTAATCGCCTTTCCTTCGTGTCGGGCATACCGCCGGTTCCCGTCCATAATGAACCCGATGTGCTGTGGTATGGGTCCCGCGGCAAGAACATCGAGAGTTAAGCGGGTTGCGCGATCGTATAGCCAAGATGTGAGCACTCCGTACCATTCTGACGGATATGCGATCGCTTCTGACATAGCCAATCAGTGTGAAGTTAGAGGGAAGAAAGGTTGGAGCTCGAGGCTTTCAAGGATTGATTGTTGGACGCGACGTGGTCCCTTGGCCCAGTGAGGTTTCTGCAGCACGTGGTTGCCCGAGACGAGTTGAAGATCAAGCTCAGAAGGCGACAAAGCTGCACGTCCCTTGTCGGCACCCTCCTCACAGCCAACTTCCACTTTGTTTGTTTGCCCGCCCGCTGATCAGCTCGCTCCTCTACACTTAACGCAACTTCCTATCAAGCATCTTCTCACACACACCGTACTGTCCACAACTGTGGCAAACTTTGAGTCGATCCCGAACTACACACACCACATTCCATACAACTTTATCACGCATCTTCCTCCCGACTAGCAAGACATCGCAACTCAACAATTCATCACGCGTATCGAGAGACTGCGCCAAGTGGGGACGACATGTTGCCGCTGGAACCACCAGAACCCGAGCCCTTGAGCTTAAGCGACATGCTACATATGGACTCGGACGAAGATGATTCAGGAGAGGATGAGATTGATGATGGAATTATTGAGGAACTAAGTGAACCTCAGAGGAGATTCAGGCGACCAACGTATGGCCACAACAAGTCAAATGGGCAAAATGGTGCCCTGCGGTCAAATACCCAGCAAGGATCATCCACTAAAGTTGACCCCGCCATTGTCGAGTACCAAATAGCACAACTTCTCAACCAAAAGGACCATGCTGGCGCAGCTGCATTTGCCGTTGTCGTAGCTGCTGCAGCAGACGCATTGAAGACACAGGGATCGTCCGACACCCCGGCAGAGAGCATAGTCCAACTTGCAGCTTTGCTACAGGCGGCAGCTCAGCAGCAGCAACAACCCCAGTCTCAGTCTCAGCCAGAATCTGTGGAACGTATATCAGCCCCTCCAACCGAGGCAGCGTCGCGCCCAGGTGCAAGCAATGGATATGCGTTGAGTTCTTCGGTCAACGTATCCCCCCAACCCGCAAGGCGGATTCCTGTATCCCTCCCAGTGGACAGGGATATGGGACGAATATCAAGCCCTCCTTCCGTCACCGCTGCTACGACCGAAACTGGTGCCACTGGTGGCGCGTCTGAATCACCTGAAGATGCGTCGACCAATCCATACAACGACATTACCGAAATATTGGCCCATCTTCATGCGCACTTGGAGTCTACCGCAGCTGCTGCCAACGCATCCGGTGCAGGGCATGACACAGGTGACGAAGCAAGAGTGAACATTTGCGATGAATGCCAGAAACCCTTTAGTCGCAAAAGCGATTTGGCTCGACATAAACGCATTCACACGGGTGAGAGGCCATTTCGGTGTCCGCAGCCAGGCTGCGGGAAAGCGTTCATTCAGGTATGTACGAAGCATGAGATCATAAATAGTAACAAACTGACCTTTTACGTCAGCGATCCGCGCTCACTGTACATTCACGAGTCCATTCGGGAGAACGTCCACATAACTGCGAGTATCCCGGTTGCGACAAGACGTTTGGAGATTCTTCGAGTCTTGCTCGTCATCGCCGCACACACACAGGACGGCGACCTTATCACTGCTCTGAGCCCGACTGTGAGAAGACATTCACACGACGAACCACGCTTAATAGGCACATGCTGACGCATAGACCTGGCTATGTCCCTGAATTGTGAGTCCTTCAACTTCTGTGGGAACGCAAGCTAATCTCAGCTACAGAATACCTACACATGGTCCTCGGCCAGCGAAGAGAAGACGTCTCGAGTCGCACAGCTTTGGATATGCCATGTATGACCCAGACTATCCCTACCTGAATGGAGTTCACGGTCTTTCATACGCTAACGCGGACGATTTCATGCATGATGTGGATGCTGGCAGGTCTGGTGGCGAAAACTCCGAGGATCCGGGGCTGGCTGCCAGCGTGGCGAGCACCAGCGCCGCGATTGCCGCTGCCATAGCACAAGCTCGTTCACAGGATGTGGATTGGGCGGTGGAGGAGGACGAATTAGAGAGCGAGGATGGGGACGAGGAGGAAGAGGAAGAAGATGCTGGACGACGGGTTCGTCAGGATGAAATCGGCAGTTCACCGGATCCAGACGACTCGCGGGAAAGGCTGCGACGTGCCATGCAGGGGACACTTCATCTCAAGTTGCTGGGAGCGGATGATGAAAAGGGAGGTGAGGACGTTGGTCCTGGAGACTGGGTGAACGAGAACGAGAGCGAGGAGGACGAGGAGATGATTGAGGAAGGGGCGGGAGTGGATGACGGGGAAGAGAATGTATGACCTTTCTGGATCGGTCTTTAGTTGTTGTTGGGTGATGGATTGGGACATAGAAAGGAGTTGATATCAATTGTACAACAACATCACTAAGTTGAAAATTAATGTTGGAGAGCATTGTTGATAATGATGGACCCTTGTGACTATGTCGGAGTGAACCGGGTGAGAATGGAAGATAAAGGATGACCGATTCGGAATCAATCGGGAATAAGATGTATAATGTGCGGCGTAACTTTATTACGGTCCGCGTCTTCCGCGTCTCTTTAGTACCAAGTCCCTTAATGATCAGGCGCGGCCCTCTCTCTCCCGAGGGTTGACATATGAGAACCCATCTTAACGTCCACTCAACTCCTCCTCTTCCCCCTTCACCTCCTCCTCCTCCTCTCCATCCATCCACCACATCTACCTCCACTGCTCCACCGTCGTTCATCTAACCATCCCCTTCTCAATCCCATCCTTCTTCCATCTCGAACAACCATGGCTGATGCTACAGTGACCAACCCCGACGAGATGCCAAGCACCGACCTCATCACCCTCACTAGGCACGCGACTCTTGTCACAGACACCTTCCGACTAGCTCACTGATCTTGTCCGCAGACATGTCCTTGCCGAGCAGTTTCGTTTGGGCTCCACTGCAACGGGTGACTTGACATCACTCCTTATCGCTATCCAGGTCACCTCCAAGGTCCGTCTCTTGTTCTTCACTCGTGTGGAATGCTGGGCTAATCCAGCACCCAGTTCATCGCCAACAACGTCAGGAAGGCACGATTGATCAACCTCATCGGTCTAGCTGGTGATACCAATGTTCAAGGCGAAGAACAGAAAAAGCTCGACGTCCTCTCAAATGACATCATGGTAAACGCCCTCCGTGCTTCTGGAAAGACCGCTGTGCTTGTCTCTGAGGAACTCGATGATCCGGTCATCATTTCGGACCACCGACTGAAGGGGAAATATTGTGTTGTCTTCGACCCTCTGGATGGAAGCAGTAATATTGACGCTGGTGTGAACATCGGCACTATTTTCGGGATCTATAAGGTGGTAAGTGCACACGTGCTATACTTCTCAACCACTAGCTCATCTTCATGCAGAGGGACGGCAGCACTGGCACGGTGGAGGATGTCCTCCGTCCTGGAAGGGAAATGGTGGCTGCAGGCTACACCATGTACGGTTCATCCGCCAACCTTGTTCTCTCTACTGGTCACGGCGTAAATGGTTACACTCTTGACAATGCCCTGGGAGAGTTCATCCTAACCCATCCCGACGTGAGTCGTCTTCAGTCGTGTATGAAATCAGCCCATGACATTGTGTCGCAGATCAAAATTCCGTCCCGTGGAAAGATCTACTCCTTCAACGAGGGCAACTCCTGCTTCTTCTATCCCCCAGTCGTGAACTACCTTCACTCCATCAAATTCCCCGCAAACAACAAACCATACTCGGCCCGTTACATCGGTTCTATGGTGGCTGATGTGCACCGAACGTTGCTGTATGGTGGTATCTTTGGCTATCCAGATGATAAGAAGAGCAAGAAAGGCAAGTTGCGGTTGCTGTACGAGGCCTATCCCATGGCGTTCTTGACGGAGCAAGCTGGCGGTCTCGCAACCACTGGCCGGATGCGGGTTCTGGACGTCGAGCCGACGAGCATCCATGACCGCACACCGATCTTCCTTGGCAGCAAGGAGGACGTACAGGACGTGCTCAAGTTCTACGAGGAGTATGACAAATCGCAAGTGAACGGAAAGACTGCGTAGCCTGTGGCGCACAGTAACCGAAAGAAATCATTCTGGATGTTATAATGTAGGAAGGAGGACCGTGTATTTGGGGAATAACTTGTACCACAAAATGGATATCGTTGGCCTGGTTTAGTTGTATTTTTCTTCAGTTTCAAGGCATCGCCCTGACATCACAGAGAATGAAGATGTTAATTTCCAAAAGTTATTGCCGTGCAGGGTGCGTTTGGAGTAGCACGCGTTTGCTGCGTGGCATAAACTCCACGCCCCAATTTGCACCCGTGTTGAACAAAAAAGCAACGCACATACAGCACACCAACATGGTAACAGGGCACTTCGCTTTCTCTTCTTCTTACCACCACCTTCAACGTTCACCTTGACCATATTCCTCTTCTTTCAAACTGTCTGCATACTCAACTTACCTCAACATACCCGCACAGGGGCACAACGTCGGTCGGACTTCACCCGCACCGTCAGCAAAGTCACGGTCAGCTCACATTCCTCCCGCATTCCAGTCGTTCCAGTCAAACGACATGGCCGGCCCATCCTCTGCTCGCGAGCGCGGAACCGCCTCCGGTGTCCATCATCATCACCGCACCATCTCCTCCACTACGCTCCTCCTCATCCTCTCTCTCGTCCTCGCCGTTCTCGCTGTCATGCTCTCCATCCCCAATCGCTCTGGCGGTGGCGGCGTTCTTAACCCTGAAGCACCCGGCTCCGGCCTGTGGGGCTATCTCACACCGAGACGCAGCCAAGTTCTTGTCGCCCGTGAAAGCCAGGTAGCTCTCCGGGAAGCTGAGGTCGCCCGTCGTGAAGCAGAGCTACTCGCCGGCCAGCCAGGAGGACTTACTATCGCCGCCTGCGAACCATGTCCAGCCTGCGCCCCCATTATGCCTCCGCCATTGCCGCCTCTTCAGACTATCATTCAAGAAATTACTCGCGAAGTGGAACCCTTGCCGTCTCCGGTGACCCCCTCGATTCCTGGTTGGTGGAAGGAGGTTGAGGACCGCATGGAGACACTGTTCCAACGTGAGCTCAAGGTTAGCGATCGGGAGAAAGAAGTCGGACGCCGGGAGGAAACAGTCAATCGTCGCGAGCACGATGCTGGAAGGCGCGAGACTTGGATTATGGAGCAGCTCTTGTAAGTCTTTCTGACGCTTTGTAAGTCTATCACTGACCCAAGATCAGGAACGTGGGTAATCAGCCTCAGGATGTGGAGACGGAAGAGATCATTTACGAGACTCGGAGGGCAAAGCCTAAGGTACACATGACCCCCGCTTTCTGAGGATCTGCGAGCAGGGGGGTACGGTGCTGTGATAACTGTAAATAAACGAGACCAAACGACTTTCACGACGATGGACGACTCTCCACTTCATGTCCTGCTCATCTTCATACAGTTGCGTGCCCCCCCTTCGCTAGAGCCCCCCTTCTCTCTCATTTCCGGAATTGTGAATGCTGAACTGACTCGTACAACAGGAGCTTCCTCCTTCCGCCGCCCCTCCTCATTTTGCGGCTGCGCCTCCTCCTTACGCGGCTGCGCCTCCTTTTGCGGCTGCTCCTCCTCCTTTTGCAGCTGCTCCTCCGCCCCCGCCTCCCCCGCCTCCAGTGGGCTCTCTGAGAATAACTACTGTCACACGTACGCTTTATCCACAAGAGCCCGCAGCCACCCCTGCCCAAACACGCGTGGCCGCTCCTCCCTCTCCTGAAGACTTCACCGTTACCGTTGATGGCCGTCCTGTCGGTCGTACCCATAAGGCCCAGCAAGTGGTAGAGGTGTTGGAGGAACAGGTCGTGGATGAGACACCCAGTCAAGCCCAACCAGAGCGGGAGACCGAGACCATCTACGTGCGTGAGCGTGTCCCTCCTGGCCGTGCTTGGTGGTAGGTGATGAGCCGTCAAGTGCTCTCTTTCCGATTTTTGGAGTGTATATATCTGCTTTCTTCCGTTTTCTTGTGAACATAAGCTTACCTCGTCTTCTCAAAATCTTGTTTTGATTTATCCCTCCCCATTTATTCCTGTTTGAACGATGGATGCCTGTCTGTAGTGAGTAGATGCTCTTTAGTATAGCCCGCCACGACTCGAACGAATCGAATTGATTTTTCATGCCTCTTATGTTCAAAACCCTGAGTAACGTCAACATTCCAGTTAAACCAGTCACGTGATTTTGTTGTCCCTTTCATCGCAATCCACTCCTGTACCTCTTTCACTCTTCTCCTCCTCTCCAATCTCTCCCCTGGTCTTTCACTGTACTGCATCTACGCGAATGTATACTCTACCTGAAGGCCGTCGACGCAAGAGCCATATATCTTCAGTCTCTGCTTTACAACCATCAACACCGTCCACGCCGGTTTTTCGCCCTGCCACACACACTCCACCTTCCCTCTCAGCCCGTCCACCGTTCGATTGGGATGCTGCCAGGGCGAACATACCAATATACTCCACTCCAACAAGATTGTCTTCTAAGTTAGAAGGTGCACAAAAGGGTGCCGGAAAATCGCGGCCTCCGAAAGTATACAGACAGGTATCTTGGATCGAAAAGTGCGTGGCTAAGCCTTAACGACGCCCATGGAAAGTGCTCATAACGTTCAGACTTCGGAATGGTCTTGATCCTTCTTTATGGATAGAGGAGCTGTTATCACTCCCGTCGCTTGTGCCTCTTCCTGAATCCCGTGTATTGGGCTTTGTCGTGGGCGCTGTGCTAAATCTCTGTCACTGGTTCGTGTGGTGGGCTACCTTCAACGACGAGGATAATGGTTGGGAGCTGGAATCTACCTCGAACGGAAACTGGATATGGGTGAGCAAAGAAAACAGTCCTCACAGACTCATGTCTGATTCCGTCGAGGCCAGACAATAACAGGGCTGGCACTGCTGAGCTTTTCCTGTATAAATGTCTTCCTGACCTTTACAACGACCAAGCTCTATCGCATGTTTCTCGCTAAGGTCAGCTTCTCACATATTGTCCAATGCTCTGATACCCAATGTAGCCGAGGAACCTGTATCGTCCACTCATTCTTCCTTTGTCGCCGCCGAACTGCCCTTGGAGGATGGAAACGAGCTGTCTCCAGTAATTCGAACAGCGAAAAGCACTCTTCGCTACATGCGAACTATATGGCACGTCCCTGTCAACTGCATACGGAAATAGACTGATACCACCACATGCAGGCGCTTTGTTAATAATGCACAGACTGCCCTGGTATCTGATGAAGCGTCATCGCTACATACGGTACAGCAGCTGGAAGTCTGGAACCCTGGTGAAGGACAGCTTGCGTTGTTAATGTAAGTGGCTTAGTGGGGAGATGGGATCGACCTCAACGATGGGATTCAGATCATATTCTCCTGTCCATGCACTGTTATACCAACTTTCGCCGAGCTCTCTAATCCTTCTTGCCATCACACCCTCCGTGACCATACTCGTAAGTGCCACCACATTTTCTAAGAAATATGCAGCATTGACATGCATATGCCTCAAGTTGCTAGGCGTTGTTGGTATGTATACCTCTCTGCTACATGACCGTCAAATCCTCGCTTCGGAAGTAATGCATGAGTATAACGATAAGGTCTGTGATGCTTGCACTAATTGGTGTCTGCCGATCGATAACAGAGCGTTGCAGTTCGTATACCCAGTGATCGCTCCCCTCAAGAAGGATGCTGAAACCATGACACATGAGAATGAAATTGTGGATTTCCGCTGGAGATCGTCAGACCTTTACAACTACAGCAGATAACCAACACGTGCGTGGTAGATAATTACAAAATACCTCAGCGAATGTAGCATAGGTTATACATTGCGGGTTATATTACACGTGCTATAGATGCCGGAAAGGATATACGACGAAAATGTGCAGGACAGTTCAAGAGTGCTACTCCGCGTCACAAGCCAATCATACGAGACCAACGATCTAGCGCTTCGTTGTCGTTATAACTTTCGCCCATCCACCTACGTAATTCACATCATCATCGTCGTCGCCGAATAAACTTGGCAAACTCGGTGCATTCAGAATCGGGCGACTTTTTGGCGATGCCATGGACTGAGCAATTCTTCTGGTCGGAACTGATGATGATCGCTGGACGGCTGAACTAGATGGATCCTCACGTACACTGCCCAATCTATGACGTTGGCCAAAGTTCGGGGAAGGCCGCGTACTTTCCATAGAAATGGAACGCTCTAACGTTGTTTCGGTGGGTGAAGACGTTCGTAGATCTAGTGTAGCGCCAACCTTGGTCGGGCTTCTCGACGGCGAACTGGGGTTGGTCACCCCGTTGATGGAGGGGAATTCCACCGGGGGAGTTGGAAGTTGTACCTGAACAGAAGTGGCCCTCAATACTGGTACCGGTGGAATCACCTTCTTGTCTTCTGAACCGCACGCTTGCTCTCCGCATGCGTTTTCGATCGGAGGAGCCATTGCTGACAGCACGCCAGTATCGTGGCAAGTAGGCACTGGATCTTGCGAACATTCCCGGTCGGAGTCACCAAATTCTTCTTTCTTCAACTTGCATCCCAATTGTGAATCAGAATGTCCTGTTTGCAGATCGCTCCCAACGTGATCGGGCTTCGAAAAATCAGGCATGATGGGGGTATTTATGCTTGCAGAAACTAGAGAAGGGCCGCCGTCTAAAATTGCATTGTGTGATGTCTGAACTTCCGCCGGATTTTCACGTGGCGTGGTGGGACTGTCCACGTCTGAAGATGATAGTTCGTGGCCCTCTGTGACAAGTTCGGTATCTTGGGTAGGCTTGTCAGGCCCTTCAGTGTCGCGTAGTATTCCACTGGCAACTGACCGGTCGTAGGGGCCGCTGAGCAGTATAGCTGGCACCTCGTTGTGTTTTAAATGAACAACGTTGTCGGACTTGTGTAAGAGGCTAGCCGGGAGTCCGTCGTTCTCCAGCGCCGGACGTGGGCCGGAGGCTGGGAACGTTACTCGTTCACGATCGCCATATCCATCGGCCACTAGGCCGTGCAAGTCCCCCTTTATATCATTCCATAACACCTCCGGGGAACTTGATCGACTTGGCGAGGTGTCCATGTCAGTGGTAGGGGATGCCGACCTACTCCGAGGCAGGTAGAAGCGACCAGCGCTGGGAATTCGGTTGCCGATGAGCTCACGGCTGGTTTTGCGATCAGAAGACACGGGTGCCGCCAGTCCTTGTATTATCTGAGCACTAACGACAGAAAAGCACTTAAAATGTCTCACCAAAACTGGCGCCAGCCTTGGGCACGGGCATCCCACCGGCCGCCTCGAAACGCGCAATTCGATCCTTTAACCCATCGCCGCTGGGCCGCCTGAGTCCCAGTTGGTTGGGTTTTTGTGGGCTCGACTGGGGTGGGGTATTCTTCCGCTGGAGTGCCGCAATCCGTTCTGCAAGAGGTTTGTCGCCAGCCATCTAACGAGGGGTATATCGCAGTCAAGAGGTGCTGAAACAATGGGAACAAGGGCCCACACAACGGCGGCAGTGCCCATCAGGGACCTCCCATGGAAATGCAACTCATTAACACAATATCGGAGTTGAAACAGCTATTAGATGATCTAGTGTACATACAGATGCGGCACCAAGGAAAGTTAAGAGTTGTATTCCCATTTCTCCGCCATTTGCTCGAGATCTTCGGTGTTCCCTGCCCCTTTCGCAGCCCAGAACGCTCGTCGCGAGTCTTTCTTTCGCGGCGAGTCCTCGCTTCGCAATCCGCGAATAACCTCTGTCACGGGTGACAGTGATTTCTCGGACACGGACTGATCCTCCTCATAAACAATTCTCCCCTGTTCCTTCTGCTGGCGACAAACCAATTTGTAACGAGACTCTGGGCTAGGAGGCGTGTCTCCGGTGATGATCAATTCGTCCTCCTCAGTGTCCAAGTCCTTGCTTTGCCGAGCGCCATCTTGCATCACCTTGCTCCCCACGATCGATGATTCCGAACCCATCGTGTTCCCGTCATGTAGTTTCACAGGTGGCCACAGGCCGGTTGGCGGAAGACCTAGGAAATTCTGCAGCGATCCTTTGGAAAATAACAGTTGGACATCGCGTCGGAAATTGAGCATCTGAACATTTGTGTCAGCCAGATAGGGGATGGTGCAGCCAGTCCAAACTCTCACATCCTGAGCCAGGCTGACAATGCTGCCAAGAAGACTAATGGATTCGTTGTCCACCGATCCCAGTACAACATAGCTATCCTTTTGACGAGCTTCCAGTTCTTGGCCACGTACAATCACGCTCGTCGACAGACTTTCAAAAGCTGCTGCCAGGGCATCCCTCACTCTAGCTGCTGCCGATGACCTCGATATATCGTTCCCTAAGAAGGGTGAAATCATTCGCGGCTCTAAGTTTCATTTCAGGCACAAGGGATGCAACGTACTGATGTCTACCGGATCTTCCACCGAGATCGTCATGCGTGGAGGTCCTCGGAAATCGGCCCCCAGCCATCCACGTTTTTCCCTCGAGAAGTACGACCCGCCGTTCCGGATCGAGATCCCGACCTCTGAATAGTTGAAATAACGTCCGTAGAGTTCCAAGAAATCCAACAATAGAACTCCAAGATTCATTCGGGGATCGATCTCTTTCCGACGAATCTTCGGATGCATCTGAGACACTGTTAGTGCACAGGACGGCTGTAATTAGAAAATGTCGCCTTACTTGCAGGAAACTCACAACCATGCAAATAACTGTGTAGCTCCCAAACCCACCGCTGTAAGGTTCATTAAGCCCACGTTGCAGAAGGAATGCCTTGATCACCATGACGAGAGGGCGAACCGCTGGTAAATACCATAGAAAGCGATTGACAACAGTAACTGCACGCAAGCCATTTGTCTGGTTTACGCTGATATCCACCGCAAAATGCCCTGAATGACAACATCGAATCACGAAATGGTCGTTATGAGGGACAAACGGACGTACCCAGTTCCGTCACAAATTTGATGATGGGGACTACGGTAAAGATCAATGGACACATCCTGGGACGGATAACCCTTACCTCGAGCTTTCCCAATTAGATTAACACGTCGAGAAACCTTGGCCTGTTGTAATAAACAGCTGATTTCTGAAAGAAACGAAACGATTTGATCTTTCCTTTCGACTGATATACCATCATAATGCACGACGAGGTCGATATCGCTGTAGTCGCCCAAGTCAGTGGCGAGATTGTATGAAATAGAATGCGCGAACCCATTCGGAAAGTACAGCTGAGTTTCTTGGCTTCCAAACGCAAGCACTCTCGCAGAAGGCCACTTTCTGGTGATGGAACTGCGAATACACTCGATAACCATGAGACGCACACTGTGTTCCTCGTCCCTGGGTCGAATGTAGGTGTTGAAAGCGTCCACTTCGGCGTTTAGACTACATATACGTTAGTGATAACAATGGTGCACAGAGAGAAAACATGCTCAACATGTCTATGGCCGTCTCATACTGTGCATCTCGGACAGACTGCATCCAGGGCCTTGATCTCTCATGTAATTTGAGGGTTGTTGTATCCCGTTCATCAAGCACCGATGCTTTCCTTTTCACCCCCCGTCGTTGATCGTGAGAAGAGCCAGCCTTGACACCATCCTCAAGGGAAATATAGTCGTCTGCGTTCCGAATGGAAGGAGGATGCGATTTGGATAAGCCATTCCGAGCCATCTGGAGCAATTGCCAAGAGATATGGTATGTGTAGCGTGCACCAGATTAAGGCATGACCGTAACAGTGGCGGTTGTACCCGATTACGTAAGCGACCGCTGGGGTCGGGGACGACAGTCAGCTTTACTTTAGTCGACCACCTGTCCTTACATCGACGACATGCATCCCCATCTGGCCACCCCGGAGCGACAACTGGGTAAGTGATATTTGGAACGCCGTTAATCGCGTCAAAGAAGCTGAGGCATTGCAGTGTGTGGCGACTTCATACAAGCCTTGGAACGATGTCATGCATCGGGATGGTGGTTTCGCTATACAGGGGGATGCAATGAGGAGAAGGACGCCTTGCGAATGTGTCTGAGGCAAGAGGTCCGCTCGTCAAATGCCCTCTCTTTTCTTCTTTTGATCAAGTATGGGACAGAGAATTGATAGAACCCAAAAGAATCTGGAGAATGCACGACTACGCCGTGCATCGTCCCAGCAAGCGTGGCAAGAGATGCAGTCCGATTAGCCTTTAATTATGCATTGTATGATCAGCATTGTAATATCAGACACCCCTCTCCTCATCGTTTCTTGTATTTCACTGTGGGCTCTCTAAGCGTGAGGTATTTACAGACGGCTCAAATCTCTTCCCCAGATCCCCTTGTTTCGATATGTCAGTCATGAGCGAAGGTAGGAAATCAGATGACAACTTACGCGAATGATCCAGTCAAAGAGCAACAGTGCCCTCGTCCTTGCAGATACAGATTCTGACCAATATATACTCCTGCAGATGACTACTCAGCTGGTGCCCGTGTAATCTTGGTATTTCCTTACCTCCAAGCGTACATGGCGATGAGACCGCCAGCGAAAGAAGTCGAGCCAAAATCAAAGACGGCAGCATTTCCCACGTAGGCCAGACTACCGAGATGCATGTACCTGCCATTATAAGGATAAGTGAATGTTGTCACAGGTAGCAGACGTACCGAAATGGACGGAAAAAGGCCTCATCGAAGTCGATGATCTGATTTTGGACCAAGGTTTGTTCATGTTTCGCCAAATAATTGAATTTCCTCCCAATGTATTTGCCTTGCTGAGCAGCGACTTGAGCGGTCTGGCTAGTGTGTCAACGGGGCCAGGGAGTAGCAGAGTGCAAACTCACCGCGGGTAGCGTGGTGATTTTGGAGCTGATGTCTTGCAACAAAGCCGTCAATTCATTCAGGCCAAGACGATCATCACGGTCAGAATCGAATGCATCGAAGATCTCACGCAGATGTTGTAGGTGGGCTTCGGCGAGAGGGACCTTCTGCTTGATCTTTGCAACTGTCGTAGCGATGTTAGAACCATCGCTCCGTCACATTGTCCAACATGTTGTTACCCATAACCTGCCATTCATTGAAATCAATTTGTCCATCGTGATTGACATCACACTGATCTGCGAGATCCAGAACGTGCCTCACAAGGGAAGTCTCGATCTGTCCTTACAGTCAGATGATGCGTCCCAACGTGCTAATCTGGACACTCACGGTGCTGGCATCCCCAATTGCATAGATACCCGGCGCCCCTTTCACACGCAAGTGAGCATCGACTTCAATTGCCTGTGGGTCTGTCAATCATCAAGCATTTTCGGGAAGACGCATGCTTGCCTTCTTGTGAACTTGATTGGGCAGAAGGGCCACCATGCGCTCCACGAAAGGATTCATAGCAATCCCCGTCGACCATAACACAAAACCAGCAGGTATCTCGTGCGTGGAAACCTGGCCACTTGGGTCCTTTTCGTCATATAGCACTTTGCCTGGATGGACCGACTTCACACTGAAAAGTAATCAGATAGACTCACACCTTGGACCAAGACATACCGCCCATTGACAATGAGTTTCACTTCATCTCGACGAAACTTTTCCTGCACCAGCCGCGTCAACAAGGCCTTCACTCGGTGTTTATAAAACATATCAACACACCTCAGCGTAATTGGAGATGTGTTCAGTGTAAGTATTCAGGATGTGATCGCGAGACTGGATGATAGATATGGAGACTTCTTCCCGGCACAATTTGGGATACTAAGAATCCTCAGAGAAGCGGAAATCAAGGGTTGAAGAGTTCTGACATAATTCATGATATCTTCTTGGCAGAGGTCATATATTTCCTTCATCGCAAGCAATCAGGTCCCCGGATTGTTCCAGAACCGCAGGAACGTACTGCAGCCGTCTCCACGCCCGTGGGACCTCCACCACAAATGACAAAGCTCAACAAGCGCTTGCGTTCCTCAGGTGAAGTTGTTGGGAGGCTCGCGGTTTCAAAGTTATCTGTATTACACCAGGTAAGAGCAGCATTCATACTTAAGTGCCTGATATACGATACCAAGAATGCGGCGCCGTATGGCTTGCGCATCGGCTATCGTCTTCAATTGAAAGCAGTTTTCGAGGCCGGGAACGCCGTGTGTGCTTGAAACGGAGCCGCATGCAATGATAAGCTTGTCATATCTGAGCGAGAGATTCAGCAATCCATTTAGGACTCGTCCTGCAATGCAGTACATACGGCACATAGAGGCTCCTCTTCATTCCGTCCGGTAGAGTAGTTTCAACTTCAAGGAGACGCTCGCCCAGGGCACAGTCAACAGCCTTCCCGGTTATGAAATGACCATGAACTCGGGCAACAATTTTCCGGATCGGCTCAATCAAGGAACGAACTTGAACTGTGCCAACAGCAGCAGCTGGAGAGTCAAAGCATGAGTATCCTGACAGCAACAAATTGGGGGGAAAAAAAAACAAAAAAAAACATTCACATGGTAACAACGGTGTGAACCAGGTGAAAGTGTCAGGTGCGATTACTGTTACATGATAATCGCCTGGGTGAAGTGTCTTGAGCAGCGACATCGCGCCCCAGCCGCCCCCAACTATCACAAGCCGTGGTTTCAGGGCAATTTTCTTGTTTTCTTCATCTTCCTCGTCGTCCACTAGAATACTTGCAATAGGAAGGTTCTTTGGGCCGCCTGTTTCGGGACGGAGAGCAAGTGGACTGACAGGCACTCGGTCCACATGTTTGCTTGAATATGTGAGAGCGTCATGGCCAAGAATGACGGCACCGGTGGTCAGGAGACCTACAGCCGTCGAAGCGACTAGATAAGCGGACCATTTGAAGATGAGAAAGGTCCGACGAAGGTACAAAGGAGCATTAGACCGAGGCTGTTGAGCTTGGGCCCACACTTGAGTGGTGGCAAAGTGACGAGTTACCGCAATGTGTCGACTTGGAGAGACAGACTGGGCAAAGCTGGACGACAGTCGTAGACAACGGGAGAGGCTCATTGCGCTGTGGGTCGGATCAGGGCTGCAAGCCCAGTCAACTGATTGTGCCCTCGTAGTGACAATCCACTTCTCCGTTTCAGTGTTTGAATATTCATTTCCGATTGGTGACGTCAAAAGTCCTGGCACTGCCACTCGTGAATCTGATGCAGCTAAAGCTGCAGTTTCAACAATATCAAATTGCAACTCTGAGGGTCGTTTTTCACTGGTGAGCGCCTAGCAATGACGAGTGGCCTTTATTACCCAGCCTTTTCAGTGGTTGTGTGTGTTCTTCGAAACTCAGAGATTAGTCAAACTATATATAAAAATAGCACACAGCCACTCGATGCAATATTCTGGTCATGTGATTTTCATACCCGAAGGTGAATGAGCACAGCCACGAATAAACTAAGTGCAGCGTGAATAGAGTGGTGCACGCCGATTGAGAGGTGGGCCTGCAGTGCGGGCGCAGTACACCAAATGAACCAGACTCTCTGTAGGGTAACTGTCCTATGTCACCTCATATTGCATAACGACTTGACACTGGCACGTCATTGACATGCTCCTCTGGATCTCCTGAACGGCCCGGAGGAAGGGGTTGCCCAGCTTTGGTCTTCAGGCCACAGAATATATTAGAGGGACCTCATTTGTAGATACAGACGTTTGTTGTTTAGCTGGAGCCCATCTGTTTAGCGAGCTGTTCAGCCTTAGCTTTGACGTCTTCGATAGTTCCAGCCTATGCGTCCATGTAAGTAAAAGCTAACTGAGTTGTTTCTCTTGCTAAATACTGACCATGTAGAAAGCAGACTCTGGTAGGGAGTCATGCATGCCGCTGAGGATTTCTTTGAAGGAACGGACAGTGTCTTTGAGAGACACAAGCTTGCCTTCGATGCCGGTGAAGACTTGGGCAACCTGGAAAGGCTGTGACATGAATCGCTGTGGTCGGATGTTAATACTGCTTCAAGGCCTGTGACGGTCATTACCTGAATTTTCCGGGCCCGTTCCACCTTGGAAACGTGTCAAAACAGATGCGCCCATGCATACAAACAAATTACTGACCGTAAGTTTGTCTTCCTCGGACAGCTCATCCATCCCCAGGATGGCAATAATATCCTTTGCAAGTGTCAACGACTGGCGAAGAAGTCAGAGTTGCTACATGCCTGGAGGGACTTGTAGTCCTGTAGGATCTTTTGGGTGGCGGTGGCAATTTCGTAGTGTTCTTGACCAACCTAAAATGATGCCACGTCAACACATTGCGGTAGGACGATCATGTAACGCACAATACGAGGGTCCAACATACGAGATTTCGAGTCCAGGGGGTCCACAGCAGGGTAGATACCCAGCTCAGAGATTGCACGGGACAACACGGTGGTAGCGTCAAGATGGGCGAACGTCGTAGCAGGCGCAGGATCGGTCAAATCGTCGGCAGGTACGTAGACGGCCTGCACAGATGTGATGGAACCCTTCTTTGTCGTAGTAATGCGCTCTTGCCTTCATCGCGTGTTAGATTGCAAGCGACCAAGGGGACAAAGCACGTACATGCCACCCATGTCTGTGGAGAGAGTCGGCTGATATCCTACAGCAGACGGGATACGACCGAGCAGGGCTGACACCTCAGAACCAGCCTGGGTGAACCGGAAGATATTGTCAATGAAGAGCAAGACATCTTGCCCTTCCTCATCACGGAAGTACTCCGCAATTGTGAGCCCAGTAAGGGCAACACGGGCACGTGCGCCAGGAGGCTCATTCATTTGACCGAAAACCAGTGCAACTTTGGACTCGCCCTCTAGCTGAATGACACCAGTTTCTATCATTTCATGATAGAGATCATTTCCTTCGCGAGTGCGCTCGCCCACACCTAATGGATGGCATAACTGAGAAGTGGATGAAGGGATATGGAGAGGTCACTGACCACAGAAGATGGAAAAACCACCATGTGCTTTGGCCACGTTGTTGATCAGCTCCTGGATAAGCACCGTCTTTCCTACACCAGCGCCACCGAATAAGCCGATTTTCCCGCCGCGAGCGTAAGGAGCAAGGAGGTCTACAACTTTGATTCCAGTCTCAAGGACTTCAGCGGTGGTCGACTGATCGACAAATGCCGGGGGCTCAGAGTGGATGGGATTCAACCTGTCACCCTTGATGGGACCACGTTCATCAATTGGTTCCCCAATGACGTTCATGATGCGGCCGAGGGTTCCCTTGCCAACGGGAATTCGAATCGGGGCGCCGGTATCAGCAACTTTCTGACCACGAACCAAACCTTCGGTACCATCCATGGCAATGGTGCGAACTGAGTTTTCTCCGAGGTGCGATGCAACCTCTAGGACCAGGCGACCACCGGCGAAGTCTTGAACTTCAAGGGCGTTGAGAATCGAAGGCAAGTCTTCGGTCTCGAATTGCACATCGACGACTGGTCCTATCACAGCCTTCACCACTCCGATCTGGGCTTTGGCCTCAGTGGCATAAGAGCGGGCTGTGCAATGGTAAACCGATGCTGGCTAAGGTGAACACAGAGGCGCACCCGAATTGTTTTGTGTAGCAGGGAGAATACCGCGCACAGCGGTAGTTTGAACGACCTTCCCAGGAGCCGATAGCCTAGAGCCGGCAACCACTGTGGAAAAAAAGAGGTTGTTGGCCTTCTTCACCTGCAACGCAGAGCGCTGCAGGCGAGAGAACGGCCTGGTGCGCGACAGCATGCTACCAGTTGGGAAATGGGTTGGAGGAGAGCAAAGGTGGTTGGAAGGAAGGGCAGCGGGGAAATACGGGCTTCAGAACGAAAGACGGAAACAGATGATGCTTATTCAGGGCAGGCCCATAGAACCCCCTCGTCGGCTCCGAGTTGTCCGTCTCCTAGAACTCCGAAGTCCATGGAGAGATTCAAGTAATATGTAGCAAGGTGCATACCGAAGTTCAGTTGATTGACATGCAGTCAAGTCATGGAAATACCTGCCTGTTTAGAGTTTAGTAATAACATTCATTCATGTATGCTTTCTTTAAATAATAAATATTAGGGATCATTAAAGAGTCTGCTTGCAATACCCGTAGACTTGTTATTCAAGGAAACGTATACCTTATCTGACGGGAGTGTTCTGGTTTTCAAACGCACTGCCAAAAACTGAGTCAAAAACTAAGATAAGGCTAATGACGTCTTAAACATTCAGCGCCGGACGGCTGCCAGTATCTTGTTGACGTCCTGCTACCGGCAAGCTGACTTTTCGCACGAAGTAGAACTGCTTCACTTTCACATTTCAATATTGACTGTCACATCTTTCTCGCGCGCAGTGGTCATTCGCCGCACTTGACTGGATAGTGATATTGGCTCTGTTAAGACGTACAGGGACCCACGCACTCGTAATCATGGCGCCAGAAAGCAGAGAATTTGCTCTTAGTCCGCAGAACGAGTTCCGATTCGAGTTAGATCCTGGTGAGACTCTTTCGCTGAAGGTGCGCTACAACATCCTTCATCTGCCCCCCCGCCCCCCTAAACACCTGCCCCCAGCTTCTTACTGGTCGTGCTGAACTATATGGTGCTGAGCTCCCACAAGAACGAACCTATACTTTCGCGTCCGAATATAAGGGCGCCGTGTTTACTTGGCATGGATGTACTTTGGAGATGAGTGTTTTTGTTAGGTCGTCACCTGCACCTGAGCCTGACGCCCTGTGTACGTTACAGGGCATGCCTCCACTGAATATGTAGCTGAAGAAACTCCGATGGTCTCCTATCTGAACTGTCATATTGCTTCAGAGCAAATGCGCGTGCGATCATCCATCGCTCGTCGACATGGCATCGGGAACCAAACCCAGGCCCCACGCGTTCTCATGCTTGGGGCAGAAAATAGTGGCAAAACAACACTTTGCAAGATCCTGTTGAATTATGCTCTCCGTGCTGGGCAGAGTTGGTCGCCGTTAATCATCAACCTCGATCCGTTGGATGTAAGTGGAGAGGCTGAATATTGGCTGAATTTTGATCATTACATTCCAGGGCGCTTGGACTGTGCCAGGAACTTTGTCTGCATCTCACTTCACCTCCCCGGTTGTTGTCACTTCAGCTGATAACCCTTTCGGCACGACCGCCACTTCAGCTCCTGGCTCCTTGTCGTTCGCGGGCCTTTTACCCCTGGTCTTCTGGTTCGGCCACATCGACCCGAAACATAACCTGGACTATATGCGACGACTCATTTCTGCGCTTGGGGCGAAAGTAGACCAGCATTATCAGGACTATCCTGAATTTTCCGCTTCTGGCATCTTCATAGATACTCCGGCCGCATTCGCGAATCCCAACCAATCTCCTGGTCAAAGCATCGAGAAGTACGCACTGATAGGGGCATGTGTCGAATTGTTTCGTGGTAGTTGTTTTTTTTCCTCTAGTTAACTTTGCACTGAATCTACTTCCTAGTTAATACAATTATCGTGATGGGGAACGAAAAATTGACTGTGGAAATGCAGAAGAGATTTGCGGATAGCAGGCATGGCGTTTCCGTCGTTAAAGTTCCCCGCTCCGGAGGGGTGCGCATTGCATTTGCTTGGAAAGGAGCTACACTCCCGCTGATGCCTCACTACAGGTTGTCGATATCGACGCTGCCTGTCGTCGTCGATCAGTTGCACGTCAGCTTCGAGGTTACTTCTACGGTGCTCGTCACGCACTTCGAGGAGAGAGAGAGGAGGATAGTGACTTCGACCCCGAAGCCACTCTCGCACCCACATCCTCAGTGGTCAGTTTTGACGGTCTCCACATATATCGCATCGGCGAAGGTACGACTGTGTCAGTCTGATCCCCTGGAGTTCATGATTGAGTCGGTCTGTGCATAGAGAGCCTGGCCCCGTCGTCAGCTCTTCCGATTGGAGCCCCACGTGCGATCTCGACCACCCAGCCCATTGTAGTGGACCCGTCTTCCCCGATGCACCAGTCTCGCCTACTAAACGGGGTGCTCGCCCTCCTTGGTCCTTCCGCATTGTCGGTTGTCCAGAACGACCTCAGTCAGCTTTTGGAGTGCAGTGTTGCAGGGTTTCTCGTTATGTGAGAATAACGTGCGTTTGATGAGCAGGCTCTAATCGTCATACAGAACCGCAATAGATCAAGACCAAAGGACAATGACGGTCCTTGCACCATCTGCCGCGAGTGTAGAAGGCCGCATAGCTATTTTAGGCTCTATAGAATGGGTTGAAGGGTGAGCTCTGTACTTGTATGCGTGTGAACGATCTCTATGCTTCACATTCATGTGCTTTCACTCGTATCCCAGAATGTATTATTTGATCAGAAAAGCTGCTCATAAACCTAAACACAAACGATGATTGTCTATTGTTTTAGAAAAACAGGAAGGGGCATGGAAATATGCAAGTAGGAAGAAGTACAGTATGAAAGGATATGAAAAATGAATGACAGGCATACCGGAACTGAATATAAACAGAGATAACAGTGATCAAGCATCATGGTGAAAATCTAGTGGTTGTGGTATTGAGAACTAATGACTAGAATGGTGCTTAAATTGCTGCAGGTTCTCAAAGAGATCAGATCTAAAAGAAAGGTATGAGGGGAGGGAGTGAGTCTATATACTGCTCCAGGATGGAAGCAAACAGGAAGCAAAAGCATGGCTTGGAATTGTCTAGTGATCCATCCACATGGCCTTGGCCAGTGTCCAGGATTGATCCATAAATCACATTATGAAGTCACTGTAGTCCAGTACTTCTGAGTATTTTGGGGGTGGTGCAAGCAGAGCTGGCTTGGCCAATTTCCCCTGAGCAGCAGCACAATGAATAGTATTGTAACATAGATCTCAAGTTTCACACCCAAGTGTCATATGTTTCTAATGATAAAATCTGACATTCAAGCTCTGTGCTTATTATTAGTCAGCTTACTATAGTCACTGTAGTCAGCAAAATAGAGAGTTTCTGACAGGATCAAATTTCTTCAGTATCATATGAAAGAGCTCTTAATCAAAGTTGTGTCAAGGATGATGCACCAGTGCAGGAATGGCTGGGGCATGCTGCTTCCCTCCAGTCAGGGGAATCAAAATTAGGAATAGGTGAAAAAAGGGATGAAAATATCCCCTGACAAGAGAACCTGCCATGATACCTCAACCTCAGGAATAGCTGCCAGCTGAGGTTACATGCAAATGGCTATTCAGCACAGTTGTCTGGGTAGTCTCCAGCAATTCTACATTGATATACAGTGATGAGCAAAAATAATGACCAGGGTCAGACACATGCTCCATCACTCTGCTCATACACCTTGTATTGCCTGTTTCTCAAGTGTTTGCTTGTCAACTGTTATTGAAATTTGACATGGTTATCTGATCTGCTGCCGATGATATCCCTCCTCCTCAAAAGAAGCACACACTGTATTCACAAAGCAACACCAGTTTATTCACTTTGGAATGCAGGCATGGCTTGGGCTTTACATCACACAAGCCTCAATCTTGCCAAGCAAGAAAGTAAGGGCATATGGCAGGCATTTTGTTGATTATGTTGACATCACACCAGTTGTGCACAATAACTGATCACCATCATGTAAAGACAGAGCCATCAAATGAACCTGCTGCTGTCATAATGCATCTACCAATATAATGAATGCCACTACTAGAAGATAGTTAGTCCACTCTCTGTGGCTCAAGCAATCCAAGGCTTTGACAGTGGTATTTTTGTCAATACAGACTGTAACCAGCAACTCAGCATACCACAATACACCAGACACTTATGAGGCCTGGTCTTGTGGGTTGAGCAGCCCCAGGGAAGCCTTTTCTTGATGAGAGAATTGCACAAGGGACAGTTGGAATGTGCATTGGAACAGGAGAACTGGACTGTGGAGGATTGAAACCAAGTGGGGGTTCTCAGATGAGTCTGTACAGCATCAGTATTTGGGGTTCCTTTGGGTGAAGGTGGATGGAGTGGGATGGCTGCAACCTTCAAAGGAAAGGTCAACTGGATGAAATATGCCAATGCAGTGGACCAGGGATATCTCATAACAACCAATTATATTTATCAACATAGCAATGACAAAAAGAGCAAGGCTCCTGGTGTCATGCAATGGCTCAGTGCACATAAAATCTACCTTATGGACTCACCACTATGGCAGTACCTCAAGATCAAGCTTTGGAAATGTGTCTCAGCACCAACAATAGTTGAAGAAGTGTGGGGCGAGGCACCATTAGAGAAGTGGAATGAAATTACAAGGGATTACATCAAAAAGTTGTCTCATCCCATGCCCTGGTGCATAGCTGCATATATCCAAAATGGATATGATACCAAATAGTATCTATGAATTGCTCAGAGACATTTATTTGTGCAATGTTATTAACATGTACATACAAAATAATATGTCTAATGATGAATGGACATTTGAGGTCTAGCAGGTGACTGAACTCTGTTGCTGGGCCAAAACAGGGGCTGTACAGGTCACATCCTGAGGAGAATGCATCATTATCCCAGTATATCATATCAGCCATTTCATGCCTATGCACACAAAATCTAGGAAGCTTCTGCATGCTGGTAAAACCTTCACAGGAAGAGGGTTGTCACAGACCTTTCTAGCTTCTCAGAGTTGTTTCCATTCTGCATGCATGTGTTTCTGTCCAACAGGATGTTTTCCAATAGGTGGAGTTACTGGTTAGAAGCAGCCCTAACTAGTGACTAGCTGATAGCCAAGGACCAGACCCAGTTGGATTATTGGGGAGTTCCAAGGGGGTCCCAAAATAGGTCACTGGAAGGTAGCAAGAAAGCAGGGCTTATGTTCTGTTATATTGACTAAGGTTTTCTCAGAGCTCTGAGGTACAATCCCTGCTTATATATAGCTGCTTCCCAGAACCCAGGAGTCCAGGTAAGTTCTGGGGGCTCCTCCTATGAGTCTCACCAGGGGGGGTGGGGGGCAATGACTGCATCGAGATATTGAAACTTCTGCACCTTGACAATGACCTGAATTGCTTTTCTCAAGACCCTTCTACCAACCAGACACATCATTTGCACTGTCTCCAGTGTAAATCATTTGCAATTTTGGTAGGCATGATTGAGTTACACTGCTGCAGAATCATTATGTCTATTCTTGGTGTTCATACTCACCCACCACCTTGTGGACAGGGTGCAAGTCTATTGGTTCCAGGGTGAACAGGGATTCTAATCATGTACAGCAGGCCAACACCTGCAATTTATTATTAATCCCTTCTTATTATGATTCTTATTCTTATTCTTATTTTTATTTTTATTCTTATTCTTATTTTATTAAGTTGTATCATCTAATAAAAAATGCAGTAATTCCGATTCTTTCATTAGAAATATATGACACTTGTGAAACTTAATATATGGTACTGTTGTGCCATTTGGGGAATTGGCCATATGAGCTCTGCTCACATAATGAAATCTACTCTTCCATTAACATAGAATTTGCATATTTGAAGTAAATCACAATGCAAGAAATCATTATCTTTTAACATGTTGAGGCTGTGTTGAGGCTGTGCATCAGTCAGAGCCATCAATTCTCTGTTTGACCTAATGGGAGGGCTGCAAAAAGTCCTGACAAGGGGAGCCATGGCATAGATCTTGATGTGACTGTAAGGCCAGATCAGGTAAGATCTTTCACATGATAAAGAAGTAATCTGATTCTGTCAGAAACACTCTACTCTGCTGACTACAGTGACTATAGTAAGATGACTACTAGCAAGTACAGAGCTTGAATGTCAGATTTTATCATTAGAAACATATGACACTTGGGTGTGAAACTTGAGATCTACATCACAGTTCTATTGTGCTGCTTGGGGGGAATCAGCCACATGAGCTCTGCTCACACCACCCCTGAAGGTAATTAATATTGCCTATCCCTGGACCATAGATCGGAAATACACCGGCTCGACAGGTTCTCTCCCCGGTATATTTCCGATCTTCTGCCGCATATACAAGATATAAACTGCCAAAGGCCCTGAGCAAGTCATTGTTTCATCATGGCGGCGAACTTCTTGCGCTCCGGGAAGAAGGCAAGTTCCCTGTTTCTGCTGAGCACGTCAACCTGATGACGTCCTCCAAAGATTCTTGCAATTGGCAGGAACTACCTGTTGAGTAGTCGCACCTTTCATTCTCAATGGAATAACTAAAGTGGTTGGGTTTGGGGTAGTGAACATGTGAAAGAGCTTTCGAACCAAGTACCCAAGGAGCCTTTCTTCTTTCTTAAGCCAACCACTAGTTACGTACTAAGCGGCGGTAATGTCGAGATTCCAAAGGGTACAATTGTCCACCACGAAGGTATGAGTCCGGTACTTGTGTCAACCATCAGTTGAACGTTTTCTTCCAGTCGAACTTGGTGTGGTCATTGGCGAGGGAGGTCGCAACATATCTAGTCAGCATGCCATGTCGCACGTTGCTGGTTACGGTATGTCCTCGGACTGCGGCTACTTAGATATGAGAATTTGTGCTTACAGAGGGTCAGCGCTGGCGATTGACATGACGGCTCGAAACATGCAGGATCAGGTTAAGAAGAAGGGACTGCCGTGGTCAGCTGCCAAAGGCTTCGACACATTCACACCGATCAGGTTGGTCCTGTCAATTTGAGTCTATGTGATTGGCTCTGACTATATGGGGTTAGCGATTTTATCCCAGCTGAACAAGTGTCAGATGCGCACAATCTGCGCCTCTGGCTCAAGGCAAGTTGCCCTATGTACCGGAAACAGTATTGTGCCTGAGAGCGGATTCAGCTCAATGGTGAAACAAAACAAGACGGGACGACGGCCGATATGATGTTTCGTATCCCCCGGCTGATTGAGCATGTCTCCTCGATAATGACATTGGAGGTACGCCTGTCGAGACAACTTGGTCTTCCTTCATTGCTAATGATCTATAGGAGGGAGATGTCTTGTTGACTGGTTCGTGGACCACATCTTCTTTTCTAGTCCTTTTTGACCTCCTGAGAAGGCACGCCATCTGGAGTCGGTCCCGTGCTTCCTGGAGACGCTATCACCGCTGGTTTGGAACTTGCTGATGGGTCTAAGACCTTGGCTGAGCTCAGTTTGACCGCGATCCACCGGGATGGAGGTTATACGTTCGTGCCATAAAGACCACGAACCTTACATTAAAGGTCAATTATGTTTATGGTTTGCGCGGGTTGCCTAAGAAGAAATACAAGAGGTGGACTATTGACCATTCATTATGTCTCCCATTCCCTCTTCTGCTTCATTGTCCGGCGGCCATTGTTCAAAGATTGCCGTGGAGCCCTTGGCTTCAATATCTGCATGGAACGAGCTATTCAAGTCAGCTATTGTCAACACACGCTCTGATATGGACGGGGCAGGCGTGAAGGCCAATGTATCTTCCTCTTCTTCATCGAAAGAGAGAATCGCGTCCCCTTGGGTGGTACTGGCGAATGAGCCCCACTCCTGAAGGATTATCACCTGTCAGAAAACATCATGGCTGAAGCGTCGGCACGCACATCATCATCTTCCTCGTCCGGAGAGGCCACGAGCACAGAGTCGCGCTCGTCCTGCTGCATTCGAAACTTAGCACCTCTGTGAAATGCGGGGATGATGCGTTCAACTGACATCAAAAGCAGTCACCTGTCTGGAGCTTGAAAGCGGAGGTGTTTTCAGAGAGTTTGAGCTAGTTGGGGGGGCCAGCGAAGTCACATTGGACGAAGTTGTGGCGCCTGTGCCTCCTACTTCATCGACCTGGGCCGAGAAAAGTGCGGTCCGCCGATTTGCGGCAGCCGGACGTATTCCTCCCAATATTTTCTTCTCTTGTTCCTTGGCTAAGCGATGTCGAGCAACAAAGACGTCCCACTCTGGTTGGGGAACGACGGTGTCGAGACACACTTTCATGGACTTCGAAAATTCGTCATAAGCTTGAATAACGTCGTCGGCCAAGAGCATGAGATGTCCACTGAAGCCCCCTCTGACATTGTTTTCGCTTCTAGGCTTGGATTCAATATGTAACAGGAAAATCTTGGCGGTTCAGTACGCACTGAGATTGTTCACCCTGTGGCTGATATTGGAGAATCCGTTCAATCAAACGAGCGTCTTTCAGGAGATGGATGGTCAACAGCCGATTGTAACCTTCCTCTACACGACCTGTTAGAACCTGATGGACGACATCGTACACTACCAAGTGAAGAAAATTATTCCAGGGATAATCGAAGAATAAGCTCTGTGCATTCCCGTTCAATCATTCATTGCGGATGGGAGCCGGACAATAGACTGACAAGGAGAGTCTCGAGGATTCCAAGCTCCAAATATTGCTGCTTAAGACGATCTCCGGAGCATGCGCGTTCCCTCGCCAGATCAGTTTCTTCCGTGTCGTGCTCTAGCGGTGCGCCTGAATCGTCTGGGTCCTGGAAGGGGTCAACCCCACGAGGACTTGAATGCTGAATCGAAGTCACAGGGGGGTCCGTGATAGCTGCCTCTGCTAGATCGCTATCGACAGGGGCATTTTCAAGTGCTTCGTCAAGCATGTCCTCGTCTACTGAGATAGACGACGTATCCATGGAGGATGTAGACACTGGCAATTCTCTGGCTGCATGTAACTCGCTTTCTTTTTCATCTCGGTCGCTGTGGGAGGCGTCCGAAGGACCGGAAGCTGACACTCTTGCAAGCTCTCCCAAGCCTGCAAGACCCCCCAGAAGCCTCCCTTCGCTGTCGTAGCTCGGCCCGTCGCCCGGAAGCCGATTTAACAAGGCCATGTTAGAAGTGTGGTAGAGTTCCGCATAGAGCTCACAGATCCGCAGGCGCTCAAACGTCAATGGCACAACCAGGCCCATCGTTGTTTCCAGAGGTGCGGTCTGACACGACTCAGAACCAAAGCTGTGAATGATATGGGGCCTAGAGCAACTCACCGATGTACGGGGTTGGCGTAGCAGGGCCTGAAACTCGTCCAAGCGATCGCAAACTGCATTTAATAGATGACCAAGATGAACAATACCCACTTCCTCGGCGAGAGAAGCTAGAGCAGTCTCCAGACTTTCACGGTCTTCCGACCCTACGTGGGAGGCCATAGTATTGGGGGTAGTTAGAGCTTGATGTTGCTGAACGGCTATTAAGCGATTCCGCAGCGTGTGGAAAAGAACGGGCTCGTAGTAATCTGAGTGATTCTTCCGGATCAACTCTATGGCAACACTGGTGCCGTGAACCAAGGCGGAAGCAGCACGCTCGGGAGGTGGTGCAAGAGGTGCGTTTTCTTCCCTGCTGCTCCTTGAGAAGGACTCTGCTGGTTCATCAGACTGTTTCCAAAGGCGCGATGTTTCTCCGTTTGCGTGATCTTCCGTGTCGCCGAGCATGAAGCCAACTAGTTTGATGACGGTGCGTTCCGCGGCAAGCTCGCGAACTAGTCTGTTTGAAACCGAAACGTCTTGCGCAGCATCGTCCATCCCTCCTGTCATACTGACGTTTCCTGGGGCTGGACACGAAATAGATATGATGTCCTTGAGCAACTCGGAAACCGCAACGTGAATCTCAGGACGTTCATAGGGCGAGAGGAGGTTCATGAGAAGGGGAACGAAGCCTTCGGTTGACAACCACTTATAGGAGGTCAATAGCTCTCCGCTTTCATTCAAGCAGAAATACGCACGTCGACAGCTCCAGCCCCTTCAATTTGACCATCGGACTTCACAATTCGAAACAATAAATCAACCACTGCAGGGATCTCCACCTGGGCGAGTAGCTTTGTTACAACATCGGGCACGCTCTTTATGAACTGGAGCATCTAGTAGGTTAGGATGGGCAAAATGTCTCGCATTCAGGATGGGAAGGCATCCTAACCTCAGCAGGTTTCTTCGCCAAAAAGACAGAGTTGATTTTAGTGAATCGTGCAGGCATGACGGGGTTGCTGAGCAAGTCGTCTGTCGTCTTGGAAAGAACTGTGTCCCAGAACGGAGTCAACAATTCGTCGCTGTGTTCAAGGCACGTTTCAACAATTGACCAGATGTCGCTGCATAGGACCTCGGCCGCAAGGTATGGATATCTAAAATATGCAAAACTTAGTGAAATCAGCCAGTGGAATCGCAAGATGACCTTACTTGTAGCTTGACCTCGGCTCTACATCAATATCGCCTGTCACATAACCAAACAATGTTCGAAGGACATCAGGGCGCTGCAGGTACTGCACGAGACGAGCATTCTGTGACTTGCACTCTTGCAAGAGATCCTCGTCTTCGAGGATACTTTCTACTGGGACATCTGGCTTCTCCAGCAAAGTATCAATGGAAGAAGTGCTATGAAAGCCAAACCTATGCGCATTATTAAGGGGAGTCAGCATCTGGGACTGATGCGTGTTCGGATTAACTAACCTCCAATACATAATGATGAAATAGTGCACACTGGCCCACAGGCCAGCCCCATGAGCCAACAGGGGGCACGACTCGAAATGAGATTGCAGACCCTATGAGCACGTGACTCACAACCTAATTCCACGTGATATTCAACAGGCCCTGAAAAAGTGCATGTGTATGTACAACATTAATTCAGGTGCATTATTTCCATATATACAAGTTATTACTGTAGCATTTTATGACGACCGACAGTCTGCAGCTGGTCTGGGGGGTTCGTAAGATAATGTCATTTTGCTTTTGCTTAATCATGACTTATGACCGCGTCGCACGACGCGTGCAACGGAGGCTTTTTATTGGCCAAGGCTTTGCAGCGTTTACACAAATGTTTGCCAGTGACTGCCAGTGACCCGCAAGTGTATCTACATGGCGAACAAATGGGAGGAGTATGTGGAACGGTAAGACTGCCACTATTGCACCACAGCATGATTGACCTCCTCCCTAGTATCGGGTATTCTGATCGTTATTCCGATGACAAGTTCGAATACCGGTATGATCTGTGATTGTGACTGATTGCACTGGATAACATCACCTGGAAGACATGTCATACTTCCAAAGCCATTACTCAAGATGATTCCGAAAGAGTTCTTTGCTGCCGATGGTTCAGGTACACTGCGTCTTCTGACTGAGGCTGAATGGAGAGGCATTGGGATAACGCAAAGCCTGGGTTGGGAGCACTATGAGGTTCATGGTATGTGTCGGGAGCTTACTGTTGCGAAAGATTGCTGCATGATGGTTCACAGCGCCGGAGCCACACGTTTTGTTATTCCGTCGACCAAAGAATTACCAACCTCCTCAGCAAACAGTCTCAACAAGCGCCGCAACACTCGCAAGCGGGGTGGCCGCTGGAAGAGTGAGAGCCGGTGGAAGGAAATGAAGCCAATGAATGTGTTGAGGCCTGCCTCGCCAACCCTTTTCGTCATGCACTGTTCTATTCTACCACATTTCTGGCCGTACTTGTAGCACCACGTTCAATGCTCTCACAGAATTGCATGTCTTCGTTCACACCCTCGAATACCGGGAGAAGCACGGTTTCCCGATGGACACTCGCTCACCTAGAGCGCATCCTTTGCCCTAGGGAACAACCAATAACCTGGCGTATGGCACTCACTATCTCCCATCTTTGTTCATTGGCAACTCATTTAATATTGAATGGAGTCGGTCTTTCCATTGGACGAGCTATCGCACGAGCAAAAGCGTAATGATACGGAAACTGGAATGCGAGATGTGCTCGACAGATAGACAAAGTCTGTAGAATACCGTGGCTGCTGACACGAACACATGGCGACCAATCCTCGTCAAAGTGATTGATTTGAGGCCTGATCAATGTCAGGCACAAGATTAAACAAAGTACTTCTATGTCGAGACCGTGCCCGAACCTTTGTGGTGGGCCGGTTCCAGCTAATGGAATGGTGAGCTGACAAAAATCAAAGGCACGCATGCTGCGCACATCATCTTGTGACCGTGAAATTGCCCACTAGTTTACCTCCTCCGCATCAACCGAGCTTATTAACACCGCGTGCCCATATCGTACCTACAGGCAGCAGTCATACACTTGTCATAACTAGCCCGGGAGCACCAGCGGATCTTTCGGTTCCCCACGCGCCGTCTCCAGCTCTTTATTGCCGTTCTGTTTCTCGTATCCAACACAAAACTCATCAGTGTCACTTGTCTGCAGGGGTCATTATCAAATCGGCTTCCTTTCCAGCACACAGAGTCCCGTCGATTGGATTACGCGATTTTGGACGGACGAAATGGACGGCCGCGGCGGTAGAGCAAAGAAGAAGGCGAGCATCAGGCTGCACCAATGTTGCTCAACTTGCTAATTATCCACCACAGGTGCTACTCATGGGAAAATCTGGTCTGCATGGACTACTACAAATAGTGCGGGAACCGTCAGCTTACTTTGTGGCAGGTAGTGGAAAGACCTCAATGCGTTCTGTAATCTTGTAAGAGTCTTCAGGTGAAGCTTGTGAACTTCCGAATGCTCACTGCAATTGCAGCTCAAATCACCTGGCTGAGTCAACCAAGAAGCTAGGCGCGACGATCGAAGTAGAGCAGTCTCAGCATCGATTCCTAAGCGATCTGATGTTAAATCTTTGGGATTGCGGTGGTCAAGAAGCTTTCATGGAGAATTACCTACGGCACGATCAGAACCAGATCTTCTCCAATGTGCAGCTTCTTATTTACGTTTTCGACATTTCGGCCAAAGAGTATGAGAAGGAACGGGATTTTGGATACTACACCGACTGTCTGAATGCAATCAAAGAATACAGTCCTGATGCATCCATATTCGTCCTAATCCATAAAATGGATTTGGTGCCCTCTGACAAAAGGAACGTGTTTCTACGGAAAAAAAAGGAGCTATTAGACCACAGTGAGGATGTGCCCATCCGAGTCTTTGGCACATCTATATGGGATGAGAGTCTTTATCGTGTGAGCCCATTCCTCGTAATCTATTGCAGGGCGCAACTCATGTATGTCAGGCTTGGTCTCGTATCGTGCACACTCTGGTTCCAAACGCTCAAGATCTCACCAATCATCTCGATGAATTCGTGGAAGCATGCTCTGCCATCGAAGCCGTCATATTTGAGAAGAAGACTATGCTTCTCATTGCTTGGAGCACCGAAGCCGGTGATTTCTCTAAAGATGACTTGGATGACGAAGATGACCGGGAGATTTTTGAACGACAAACGCCTCCTGATCAGAGTTGTGACCAGAGCAACAAAGAGAGATGCCACCCAAGTGTCACTCCTGTCCTTCCTCCAGACCGTTTTGAGAAAATCAGTGAGATTATAAAACGATGGAAAAACACCCTCCTGTACGTGTACAGAAGACCATCCTGGCGGGAGGCTGACATCATACGCTTTGGCGAGCAGGAATAGCAAGATGAATTTCAGCTTTCAAAATTGGGTACAAGAATGGAGTAATTTCACTGCCGTTCTGGAACCCCTCACCGTGAATACATTCATTTTGGTCATCGCCGCTGATCCTGATATTTGTGAGTTCGCCATAATTGATTTACCTGCTATTTGCCCACACTTGCTGGACAGTGCCAGGTGCGTTGAGATTGAATATCGAGATGGCAAAGGAGCGCTTTATTGCGCTGCAGGCCGGACGAAGCAGGTAGTGTTTCACAGGCTTTTCACATACCTAGTCGTTTTGTGATATCCTACATGCTCTGTATTATTTCCAACGGCGATACCTCCTCACGTGATGATGCATTCAAGCGGGTTCCAACCAGTCGGCTCAGGAACGAAATAGGAGTCGGGACTCGCCATCGGGTCCAGGCAATAAGTTGGACTGCGGACATGAGCTCCGCAACGCGACCTTCACCTCATGCTATGCGAGCGTACCGTCCCCAACCCAGATAGGGAATTCGTAGTCCCAGACTTCTTGCCGAGTGGATCGCCCAAATTCGTGCGTACCCCCGACAACTCGTTGAGACAGTCAGCAGGGATGCCTCATGAACCACCTCAACAGCTGAATTGCACTATACTATCCACGCAAAAGTCCCGGTTGGTGAGTAGCACTAACCAATTACATCAACCTAGAGCAGAGACCTGTTGCTTTCTGCAGCGTACCTCAAGCTATTCGTTGCAGGCGCTGGTACTAAGACCAAGTTTCGGGCCAGGCACAAGAGTTATAATAATGACTCCCGGAGACTGAAAAGCGCGGCACTCGGCGTTGGGGATGCCGACGATCGGCAGTGGACGGAGGCATGTGCGGGTCTGGCAAGCAATACACGTGTACCGTGTGCATTGAACCTTGATGTCAAGGCACGGGACGAAGAGATCCAGGAAGGAAAGATTGGTATAAGGCACGGCATTTGCGGCAGTTGCCTTACATGAACGGCAGCTGATGACGACGGTTTTTGCTTGGACAACTCCTTTTCGATGATGGGTGATGATGGAAGGGACGGATTTGATATACCCCCACGATATCTTGGTGCTGATAAATTGGAGTGCCCTGTTTGTGTTTCTTCCCCCGTTAGATGCCTTACGGAGATCGACAAGGATAGGCGGAACACGAAAACGGCGGAGGCGGATCCGGTTGGTCGATGGGTATCGGGTGGCGGCGTGGGAGTAAGGGGCCGATGAGGAGGGGCTGCTACGTGATGGTACCAATTTATTACTTAGCCTTCACCACATGTTCACTGCTGATGTAATTAGCGGGGGAACTAAAATGATCGTAATAATAATAAGGGAAATTGCGGCGCGCCATCTCTCACGGTGTGTGCCTTGTGACTCCACAGGCTCGGCCTCCCTTTCCCACCGCTCTGTTTTTTTTTCAAACTCCCCAGGGCAACAACATGCTCCCGCTGCTCCGGACTGCCCCTCGCCCCGCCCCCTTCCCCGAGTGGGCCGCCCCCTTCCAAGCCTTTGCCGGAGCAATTTCCACTTCCACTTCCGGCCATGATTACACATTATAAATATCTCATCAGTTCGGCCATTGTGTCCCTGGGTTTCCCTCCCCCGCGACTTCTCTCTTCCCCAACGACAGATATATCCCATCCATTGGTCATATCTCTGTCTCGCATCCTACCATCCGGCTCCCTTCATACACATCGCGTCCACCAACTGCTTCTCTCTTTCCATCAACCTCTCCATCATCTTCGCGCACACCTCGGTACTGACCCCCCCCCCTTCAAACGCACTCTCGCCCATTTTTTCGAATAAAACAACAACCATGAAGTCTTTCGCTGTTTCCACCTTTGCAGTCCTGGCCCTCGCTCTGACCACCTTTGCCGCACCCATTGCAGCACCCCCTTCATCCGACAGTTTCTTCGGCGGCGGCTGGCTTGGTAGTGGAAAGCGTGACACCGTCGAGCGTGCACCACCAAACCCAGACTGCAGCTTCTTCGGTCCTTGTTGGACTGGTGGTGGGAAGCGTGAGGCCGCCCCGGAGCCCATTCCCGAGCCAGAGCCAGAGCCCATTCCCGAGCCAGAAGCCGCACCACCCAAGCCTGACTGCGTACGTCCTGTTCGATCTCTACACAACATTTTCAGAATACTAACCGTCCGCTCAGAGCTTCTTTGGCCCGTGCTGGACTGGTGGTGGGAAGGTCTGAGGCATTCAATTCTGTTCTACGCTGTGACAATGGCAACAATGGCAACGGAAGGAGGGGCGGAGAAAACGGTTGGAGGTTGTTCAGGTTTTTTGACATTGTTTCGATCTTTCGACGCGACTCCTATCCCTCTTAATTCCTCTCTCATCATGTCGTGTTTTCTTGCCTTCGTTCTTGTGTTTTCGCCCGAGTCTGGTCAACGCCTACTGTCTTTTCTTGCTATTATGGTACTGTCCTCTATTCTATGCTACAATTCACAGTTCCTGCGAATGATTTTAAAATTCATTGAACTGGGAATAAAACACCTTACATAGCAGAATCGACGCCAACCCTCACAGCACCCCCTGGCGCATTCAGGGAACGCCCACCACTTTCGATCTCGGTTCGATGAACCAGAGTAACCCGAAATTGCCCGTCGGTTACCTGTGAAAGGTTGGAGTTCTCCGCGCTTCGGTGGCAATCGCGTAGAAGAAACACACACCACAATTCACGAGAAAGGAGGCGGATCGAGGCCGAATTGGGATCTTGACCGTCCTGAAACCTTTGATGACAAAACTGATGGCAGAGATTTTCCCTGAGCCCCGTACACATCATTACGTTCATATTAGACAATTCAAGAAGTCGATGTCAACCAGCCTTCCCCAAGGCCAAGCGCAGTGTACTTCCGAGCCCCGGCTCCGGCATATGAGGCTGAACTCAAGGCGGCGCGGGTTCGTCCCCTTCAACTGATCAGCCCCACCACTACAGTATCTTGCCCGTTTCTATCAGCCATTCCTTTACTTCTCTTCCTCTCACACCAACAATCAGCCTCTTGTAGCTTCGGCCAGCACTCTCTCGCTAACGTTCCTTCCGTCTTATCATGGCTGTTCCGCACGGTAAACCCAATTCATTATACCGCTTAAGCAGCTTCTCCGTACTCATTGACTACTCTTTTTTGGTAACTTTTCCTTAGCCGACGTTGGCGAAAGCACTCCACTCCTGCCGAATGGGTCCGTGGGGACATCAGCACATCGATCGTTTTCGGATGTGCTCAAGGGTCGCGGCGAACCGTCCTGGTCGACTTCGCTGCGGTTCTACTTGTTCAGCTCTTGGAGTAATGCTGTCCTCATTTTCGTGCCTCTCAGCGCGGCGGCCCATTATGCTCAATGGGATGCTGGTGCCAGATTCGCTCTGAGTTTTATGGCTATCGTACCCCTTGCAAAGGTGTGCTTGCAATACCATTGACCCTCGCATTACATCTGAACAGACAACCAGCTTCTCGGCGAGGCTACGAATCAACTTTCCATCAAGTTAGGCCAGACACTGGGAGGTCTTTTGAACGCCTCTTTCGGAAATGCGGTTGAGATCATTGTTGCTATTGACGCACTCTTGCATGGTTTGTACACGACATGCTATTCAAATTATATTCATATTTCTATTCAGGACAGCTAAGGATTGTCCAGACCTCGGTATGCCACGAAAATATCAGAATAGGGGGCACTCAACTAAGCCGTGTGATAGCTCCTGGGATCTATTTTGTCGAATCTGTTGCTTGTACTCGGCATGTCATTCTTTGCGCGTGAGTGAACGCGTTTTGTTTAACCCGAATGCGACCCATAACGATTGCGCAGAGGGCGTAGCGAACGGGCACGGTGCTGAGGGCACCTTCGGAGCGACTGCCGCTCAAACGTGGGTCCTTCATTCAACATATATTATACTAAAATTTCGTTGTATGTAGGTCAACGTCGGTAAGCCTACATTTCTCAGGAAACACAGGGCGCTTAGTCGTGGTTCATAGTTGATGACGCTTTCATGCCTCAGTACGAACGAAGTAATTGGAAGTCATCACTAGCTGATGGTTTGGATACAGCCCTGGTTATCCCGGCTGCTTACCATGCTGCCAAGTTCACCGGCGATGATCCTCTTGACCCTGTGCGAACGGTCTGGCAACGAGACAGTCTTTCTGGCACCTACGGTCGACCGCTTGACGGTTTGCTTGTCATCTCTCGAGGCACTGCCATCCTTTTGTTGTTGACCTATTTCGCCTACCTCTTCTTCCAATTCTGGACCCACAAGGAATTGTTTGATGAAGTCAAACAGCAGGAAGGTGAGGATGAGCGCGCGAGCATGAGCATGATTTCAGCCGGAGCGTGGTATGTCTCGAACGAATATATCCGGTAGCAAGACTGACAAGGTCTCCAGTCTCGTCGCGGTTACTGTAATCACTTCATTCTGTGCAGACTTTTGTGAGCACTGTTTTGAAATGTCGCTTCGAAAGCTGATCGATATGCATCAGTGGTCGCCTCGATTGAAGAAACTGCTGAGAACTATCACATACCCAAGCCTTTCATCGGAGTGGTACTACTGCCTTTGGTTTCCAACGCTGCTGAGCACGTCACCAGTGTTTGGATGGCCACAAAGGTGAACTTAAATGTACACATTCAATGATTACTGCTCATACCATGTAGTCTAAAATGGAGCTCGTTATTGCCATTAGCATCGGAAGTTCCATCGTGCGTTGCTACGATATCCATGAAGTGTTTTGATATGAAAACTTGATTACAGCAAATTGCTACTTTTGTTATTCCACTTCTTGTCATCATAGGCTGGGCGTTAGTGTGAAAATTGTCATGAGGTTCCAAAACTGATGACTTTCCAGGGTGGGGCAACCTTTGTCCTTATTTTTTGCTGACTTTGAGACGATTATTCTTTTTGTTTCTGTCCTGCTTGTGAATCTTCTCATCCAGTGAGCACATTTGGACCGAAGTTATTTGTGACACTGATCTTCTTGTGAGGGACGGGAAGAGCAATTATATGGAAGGCCTCATGTATGTCGCTGGTTGAGTACCCTGCCTGCTTCAGTACTCTAACCCGATGCACAGGTTGATAATTCTTTATGCAGTCACCGCGCTAGCCTGTAAGCTTCTTCACACGTCTATCATGAGTCATCGGTTGACGTGGGGCTCGCTTGTCAGTCTGGGTTTCCTGATTTCTCGCCAAAAATGCATCACTCTTATCGTCTGCACCTGTGCCTAGTACGTTACCTAGTAGCAATGGTCGCAAACACCCTATTCCAGAAGTCTCTTGTTGAGACGCGCACGGGTGTGAGGAACCCTGAATGAAATTCCTTTCCGCACGCCCACCAGGAGAAGAACGGCTTGGAAAATATATCTGACTACCAAATACATACACAATCGCCCAGATGCAGTTCATCGAACGACAGCGTCGTTTGACGCAATCTCAAGGGTATCTAACTATGCGTTCCCGACCGCAAACAAAACGTGGAAATATTGTCGGCCGCGAAATGAGCGCTATGGTTGCATCGGTTGCGGCACCGAAGAATGAGAAAATGGGACGTGCCCGGAATATAAAGACTATGTTGCCCCGAAGGAGTGCATGCACTGTTCCTCTCCCATGAAAAGCCTAGGCATTCCTTGACTCGAGCATTTTGTACTTTTCATTCCGGTCCTGTTTTGACAGCACTAGTTGCGCTACGGCCGAGAGAGTGGGTGAGTCAGGGTGGTTTAGCCGGACGCCACGGTCAAGAACCCTGACCAGCTCCTGGAATCCCCGTTTTGTGCCCCATCCTCTTACACTCCTTCGCTCCTCCCCTCATTCATAGGAACGGACACCGTGATCACTGCTATTTATCAACGAGGGCGCAGTACCACTTTACCCAACTCGATTCGATCAGCCATGGCCCTTACAAAAGCATTTAAATCGGCTGGGATCCCCCTCCGGACCGTCGCAAAAACTTCGCCGACGGCGTGGTCCATCCATTGTCGTCAAAGGTCGTCGACGACATCCCCGCCAACCATTTCACACGGTTGCACCCTCGATGCCAAACTCAGAGTCAGAGAACATGTGCGCTCCATGAGCAGAAGTGCTGCTGGCCGAGCTCACGCGTCTCCCAAGACGTGCGTCATGGTTTATAACCACCTCTCCGATGTATTCGACTGGAATCTGACTATTAACTGCGTTAGACATCCTAACTCTGCGCCAGGATTCCAGCAGCCGCACTCACCACAAGCGCCTGAGCCTCTCCTCACATCGCATCGTGCTGGACTGGATGAATCTTTCATCGGTTTGTCGGGTGGTGAAATATTCCATGAGATGATGCTCCGTCATAGCGTCAAGCAGGTATTTGGTTACCCCGGTGGAGCCATCCTCCCGGTTTTCGATGCTATCTATAATTCTCCGCACTTCCACTTCGTTCTTCCACGCCATGAGCAGGGTGCCGGTCACATGGCTGAAGGGTACGCAAGGGTAAGCGGCAAGCCTGGTGTCGTTCTCGTCACTAGCGGTCCGGGAGCGACAAATGTCGTCACACCGATGCAAGATGCTCTCTCGGATGGTGTTCCTCTTGTTGTCTTCTGTGGTCAGGTGGCCACATCTGCCATCGGCAGCGACGCCTTCCAAGAAGCCGACATTGTTGGAATCTCGCGCTCTTGCACCAAATGGAACGTCATGGTCAAGGACATCGCGGAGCTTCCACGTAGGATTAACGAGGCTTTCAAGATTGCCACCTCTGGTCGGCCTGGGCCCGTCCTGGTAGATCTTCCAAAGGATGTCACTGCGGGTATTCTGCGCACTCCCCTTCCCTACAAGGCCACCACTCCAGGTCTCTCCCTTGGCCTTCCGGAGAATCCCTTCGCCCCGCCCGCTGACCTAGCCCTGATCGAGCAGGCCGCTGACCTGATTAATCAGGCGAAACGCCCGCTCATTTATGCTGGACATGGATTGCTTGGTTCTAAGGAGGGGCCGGAACTACTAGCCAAGCTGTCCAAGAATGGCAATATCCCTGTGACAACCACGTTACAGGGTCTCGGCACTTTCGATGAACTCGATGAACGTAGCCTGCACATGCTAGGTATGCACGGCAGTGCGTACGCAAACCTCGCCATGCAGGAAGCCGATGTGATTATTGCCCTCGGAGCCCGATTTGATGATCGTGTTACTGGAACACTCAGTAGTACGTGAATTACCTACCCTCCCATGGTCATCCCTTTGACACGCCACAGCCTTCGCGCCTGCAGCTCGTGCGGCCGCCTCCCAAGGCAAGGGTGGTGTCATTCACTTCGAAATCATGCCCAAGAACGTGAATAAGGTTGTGCAGTCGACAATTGCCGTGCTTGGTGATGTGACCGCCAATTTGGCTCACCTCGTCCCTCTCATGTCGCCGTCTCCTCGCGACGCATGGTTCTCTGACATTCGCTCTTGGAAAGCCAAGTATCCATTCACGTATGTGAAGAGTGATTCTTCCAGAGGCGAACCGATGAAACCGCAGGAGGTCATCGAAGAGCTCGACAGGCAATGTGCTGAAAAGAAAGATGAGGTCATCATCAGTACCGGCGTTGGTCAGCACCAGATGTGGGCTGCTCAGTTCTACCGCTGGCGGCATCCTCGGACCATGATCACCTCGGGCGGACTGGGTGTAAGTAGTTTCCTGGTTAAAGGAATGTGTAGCTTACTAGGCCTAACAGACTATGGGCTTCGGCTTACCTGCTGCTATAGGTTGCAAAGTTGCTGCTCCGGAGAAAGTCGTCGTCGACATTGACGGAGATGCCTCTTTCAGCATGACTGCGATGGAATTGGCCACTGCTGCGCAATACAACATCGGTGTTAAGGTCCTTGTGCTTAATAACGAGTTCCAGGGTATGGTCTTGCAATGGCAGGATCTGTTCTACGATGCACGCTATTCTCACACACGTATGCACAACCCGGATTTTGTGAAGCTTGCGCAAGCCATGGGCGTTCACGCTATCCGCTGCACGAGCATGGAAGACTTACCTGCGAAAATGAAAGAGTTCATGGCATACGACAATAGCAAACCTGTGCTGCTTGAATGTGTTGTCGAGAGAAATGAGCATGTCTTCCCGATGGTGAGCAAACGTATCTAAGCGGGAAAAAGTGGGCGAACTAATGGTTCCTATCAGGTCCCTGCTGGGAAGGCGCTCCACGAACAGCTCCTCCATCCAAAACTCCGCGCCGCAGCGTCGGCCGCCCAATCCAAAAAATGATAGGCTCCATAGTGGCTGTATTCGTTTCTCTTGGTTCATGCGAGGGGAACAAAAGAAAGGGGGTCCCGTGTCGCCACGACATTTGTACAATAATCAGCGTTGAGTTTTGTTGAATTGCATCAATGCGACCTCGTTACATGTATCTCAAAATTTGCGTCGAAAGGGCCGCAGGAAGGCGGACGTGAGAAATGAGTCTTCCAGCAAGGCTGCAACGCCGGAACGGTACATCCGGTACAAGGTGCGGACAAGGACGATGAATTATGTAGGCATTCGAGGCGGAATCTCCCTCCCGAAGATCCGGGATGTTGTACCGGCATGCCAGCGCCAGAAGGCCAGCGTAAGAGACCATGTTCGTGATTGACAAACATGTGCGTGATTCCAGCAAGATCCAGCAACCAGGCTAAGGCAGAAAAGATGCCGTACAAAGAGATGCCGGGCCGCGGAGGGAAGACATAGTTGAAGCGGTGTTCGAAAGTCCGATGTCCGACTGGTAGTCAGTTGGTAACACGATGGTGAGAACGCGTGCCGAGTGAATATAGAACGATAGGGCGACGAATCAAATTGCTTAACGGGGCGCATGCGATGCTGGACCGAAGGACTCGATAAGCATAAAGGGATACAATTACAATGTCGCACCAGAATGGTCGAGAAGGTACAACAGCGGTACAAAAGGGTGCGACGCCGGGGAGTGTGCCCAAGTTGGCGAAAGGGACACAGAACGGTCCACTCGGATCTGCATAACCGATTCGCATTCCGTCGAGCCCCTCCCTTTTACACCTGGGACGGACCGCGGCCTTGGGCTAGGTCCGCATTAATATTGCACGGGTAGACAACCCGTAAGGAACGAGGTTTGTCCGCCGACGTCCTCCTGGCACGGTAAATATCACTGTTGTTCCTGGCACCGAGCTCAGTCGTCACAGCTGATTGCGAGCTGATCGCGCCATGCTTGAACCGTTATCTCTCCCCGGACATCTCCGTCTTTCCCCAGAAAGTCTTTCTACTTATCGTTGACATGGCAGTCCCCGATTTCGCTCGTGCCGCTATCTATAAAAGCCTAGCGGCACTTCACCGCTTGGATGGTTGCCCTGACCCAACCAACAACATGGCGCCTCCCGTAATGCTCCGCGTCTGGGTTGTAAGTCCGCATTTGCCACCAAAGCTGTGAGAAACTGAAATCAATAATCTGTCTATATAAGGTGCGGCATGGTGAGACCGATGAGAATCAGTACGCGTTTATCCCAGAGCTGACCCATCATGCTAATTATTGTCCGATAGACAGGGTATCGTCCAGGGACAATTAGATACGAAGCTCAATGCTAAGGGCCGAGTACAAGCATCCAGGACTGGGGAAGCGCTGGCTACTATTCCTTTTAAGAATGCATACAGCAGTGATCTTTCCCGAGCAGTTGAGGCACGTCTGGTTTGCGGATCTCAAATTCGTGGATATCTGAACGATTAAACAGACGGCGAAAGCCATTCTCTCTCACCATTCACATGTAGACTTAAAGATGGATACTGCATTACGAGAAAGAGTGCGGATCGTCTCCTCTTTACAACCCCCTCCCTCCCCCCGCGGCATTGACCATTGGCACTAGGACATGGGTATTCTGACGGGGAAGCTGTCTCGCGAAATGTCTTCTGATTGGCGTACGAAAGCGCGTGAAACCATGGAGCCGCATGCACAGTTTTTGCCCCGAACGCTGGCTTTTTGGCGCAAGCTTCTGAGCTTGTATGGCTTACCCGACTCTCTCATTCGACCAGAGCCGGATGCGCCGTACGATATCCTAGTCGTTTCGCACGGCGCATGGATAGCCATGTTACTCCGTAATGCACTTGCGAGACAAGGCTACACAGAACATGAGCGAGTGCCGGCCGCGAATCGGGTTCATGTAAGCACATCCTCTAGCATACCTAGCGATGGCGTGCTGATATTTGATCGCATTTTCTGCAGAACTGCAGTGTTGCACTCGTCAGCGTATACACGAACGGCTTAGGGCAAGTTGAGCTGTACGATGATTATCGGCATCTCGTAGGTGAGGAGAACGAAGGAAACGAGCCTTCTGAGAACACGGCGGAGTTGGCAGTCGAAGCTAAGATGGTTGAAACTCCTTGACTACGACATACCCGAACCACATATCCACATATCTACCCACATTCATCATCCCCATACCCGTGTTTCTGTTGTCGCATTATACTTCCATTGAACGTCCGTCTCTGCTGTTCCCGTCCGTGAGAAGACGGATAACAAGGGAAGGTAATGCGGGACTGCCTGACATTGTTATTCATTGCAGTGATCATCGTGGTACATACGGATATCGCATACTGGATACACCATAGAGGTAGAGAACAATAGGAATAAGGATATTTGCTACCAGGTTAGGAGAGTGGGTAAGTAATGTTAAGTGCTAAGTAGCTGCGCCGATCGGATGTTGGGCTAGGGACACCTTGAGCTTCTTGTTCGGCCGATAGCGCAACTCCTTCTCCTGCCTTCGTGTGTTCGTGGACAAAGAAAACAGTGGCACAACATTCTCTTCGAGCTGGGTCTGACTGTCAACCGACCCGGCCGCTGGCTCCCCGTCAGTCTCATCGTCGGAGGTGTTTTTCCTCTTCTTCTCGGTGCGCACGCCGCGTCTCTTGGGTTTGATTAGACAATGAAACGAGCAGAAGCTGGGACCACATACGAGCTCTTTGAGACCCATGATTTGCTCTTCTAGCTTGTAACTTTTGTCGAAGTACTTCGTGCAGCCCTTTTTTGCCTGATGCCGTGAGACAACATATTTCACTGGTCCAGCCCGACGCGCTTTCTGTTTTGATTTTGGCTTGGGTCTGGTGGCATTGGTTCTACTGTCTTCATGACCACCATCCGCGCCATCGAGTCCCTCCCGAATGATCAAGCCTGCGGCTCGAATAAGTTTCCCTCAAGCAAGCAACTACTGGAATCCTACCTTCTTTCTCTAGGCGTTGCCATATCAAATTTCCTGCCGAAGTGAGACAGCCTGAACAAAATCAGCATTCCCCAAATATAGTGCTGTGGTAGGTTTACCAAGGCGTTTCCTGAGAGCCGATGGTCCATCAGGCAAGTTGTTCGGCTGGATGAAGAGCTTTAAGACCAATCTACTCACTTTCAGAATTCTGCAATACCTTGTAAAAACGAGATGTCAAACCTGAAAAGGGCAAGGTCCTTGAAATCAGCAATCTTCTCCTGCTTCTCGTCTTCGCTCAAGAGCGCAACCAGAGAGTTCTCTCGGAAACAGCACTCGAAACATAGCCATGGCTTTGTGTTTGGACGGAGTTCTGGATAGTCGTGATGGAACTCCTCAACGTCATTGTATCTATGCGCATTCCTGGTCAACCATCGTTTGAGTATTTCAACACCGCACTCACCCGATACACCTGATAGACATTCTCCTCAATCAGGTGTGACACTATCAAACAAGACTTACCATAGGTGATACCATTTTTCACATGGACCCTCGCATTGGCACCAGTTGGATGTGTCCTCGATATCTTTTTTCACCCTAAGGCGCTGACCAATTTTGTTAGTATACCGCAGATGATTTAACGACTTTCTCACAATTCCGCAGCAGCAGTTTCTTTCGTCTTCGTTAGATATATCAGCGTTAGGGCGCTGAGGGTGGGAGGTGGAATTAGGGGGGCCTGTCTTGGGCCCACGAGGGCGCAGACTCCTCTCACTACGAGGTTCCTGCATTGCATTGACCGAACTATAGTCACCGTTACCCATGTCAATGTCACCGCTTCCCTCTGCGGATCAATGATAGTATGTGAGTTAGAAAGGTGAGAAAAAGTGCAGATCGGAGGTCTCACCATCAAACGTGATCGCGTTCAGATTTAGCGTATTGATACCAGCGGTTAGCATGGTCTCGCTCATCCCAATCAAGCCCCCTGCCTCATGATTAGTCGACGGGGCTCCTTAAAGCCCATGGATGGACCCATGCCTTGCAGACGACTTCTCAGGCGTTGGGTGGGATCAGACATCGATTTGTGCCGCAAACGTATCTGTGGTATGCTCAGGATTTGGATTTTGTAAGGCGATGAAATTCCTGCCTTATACTGATTTTCGAAGTCGGCGTCATTCTCCGGGCTACCAGCATGCGCAGCCTCTTCAAGATCCATAGCTGTGTCAGAGCTTTGCATCGGACCCACTCGGCCGTCTTCATCACGAAAGCCGACAGGCTGCTCTTCACTCAAGTCGGGGGCAAGGCCGTCGAAGTCAGGATCTGGTTCCCCATCTCCGTCACACAAGCTATCATGAGTGTATGCGCGTCCTTCAGCCTCCCATATAACCCGGCGGGAGAGAGAATCGCCTTGTTGGGCTTTCATTTCCTGCAGCTGATGTGCCTGTCGCTGTTGCGTAGATAGTACTTGGACCGGAATATCTGTATCAAAAGGAAGATCGTCGTGTTGTTTCGGAAGTGTGTTGCAGACCGAGGCAAAAGTCAAAGTCACGCTGGACTGTTGTCAAGACAAAATCATAGGAATGAGGCACACGCAAGTACCCATGGAACGAAGTGTTCAAGGCGCCAATAGCTATTTTGTCAGGCCGTTCGATGGCATTATGTGTCGCGAAAAAGAATCGATCTTTCTCCGCGTCTGCTGCCCTAAAGAATGGCGGTTCATAGTCGTCCGGAGTCCCATCGACATAAAAAAGCTTGAATGTTACATAACGCTGGGCTGTTTCGGAGATGACTGTGGAGCATCACCAATGTTGCGTGACACTCACGAGGGAGCTCGTCCATGCTCTGTGTCATCATGATGAGCCGTTTGACTAATGTCTGTTTGGATGTTAGCGTGGGGGCATAGCATGGCGATTTACTGGACCTGAACCGATTCCCTAACCTCTCTCAGGGTAGGTACCTTCCCCTTCGTGACTGCCTGCAGTGCATTGCTACGCCGGGCGATCAAAATATGCTCCTTATCACTATGAAGTCCATTCATGATAGGAACCACGGTATTGGTGCCCGGGATGGTATGATACTACACATTTCGAAAGTGTAAGTAACAAGAAATGTAACATGAAGTTCGATTACCGTAAACGAGAAGGTGAAAGACTCGATAATGCTCCCGTAGGTGTGAGATAACTTCTTTGTCAGAGACAACACTCACTTGTTCGGATCGTTGGGATCCTATAACGAGGACTAAGGGGAGCAGCTCGGAGCAGAGAGCAATGGACTTACCAGGTAGACTACAAACATGAAGCTTCTTAAGTACTGCTTCTCAAGGGCGTCGAAGATACCATTTTCCTATGTCAAAGTCAGACCAAGTGTGTTCCCAACGACAGCATTCCACGCATATATGCACGCACCAGATAATCCAGGAGTCTATCACCTGCTCCTGAGTGACCGCGCTTGACAGTTTTTAATTGTACTCGGTTGGATCGTGAAAGAGATGAAGTATTATGGCTTTGACTGAGCGGATCGTTCGTGATAGAACCTGCTAAAGAGGTTGTTTCAGGCGGCCAAGCACCTGATCTATGTCACTGACCGTCAACAAAGTGATCAGCCGGCAACAGGTTGCTATATGCGCATATATAAGACGATTGGAGTGGCATCATTTAGTACAATAGCTTACCGTATCCATGCGATGCAGTTAAACCACGCGCTGAGCAGTTGTTTGACGGTCTGAACGCTCTGCTCCTGCGTGATGGTTCGCTATGCACACGATCGTGAGGTTCAGCGGTGCGAAGGCAAAGGGGGGGAAACAGATACATGCCTGATCCAGTCTAGGTCGTACGGCTTGAGAGAGCATGTGGAAATGGAATGGGGGAGTGACAGGTGAAAGAGCAATCGTGAGCCAGACGCCAGACAGGAGAGGTTGATATACAGATCGGAGAAGGACGTGCACGTGACTTGAGCCGATTTGGGTAACACAGAACTTTGCGGCTCGTGCCCCAAAATGGTATTGGGTAACCCATTTTGACGTAGTACTAGTACCGCCCACATGCTGCCTGCCACCATCGCAGTAGATGGTGTTCATCGGAGAAACGGACGGAGAGTAAAGCGCCGTGCGCAAAGGTTACGTCGGATCTATCCGATCGCAGGCGGGTTGCGGACTCAGGCAGGAGAGCACTTTCAAACTTGCAATTTGGGGGCCCACCGTAGCCAAAGGGAAAGATATGGCTAAAACCAGGAAGCATCACAGTACTCGTAGAGTGGATGATTTTTGTGACGAAGGCATAGAAACGGAGAGGGCGCTGGATCATGCTTGTTACGAGTTGACGCGTCAGTCTCAGTGCCATTCCGTTGTAGCTTACGCCACGTCCTCCACCAGCATATACCTCAGCAAATCCCAATAATGCAGTTCAAGTTGTCTGCATCATTAAAAGCCCATAAATCAGATGTGTGGTTGTGATGAGTTATGAGTGCCGCCGATGCTGATGCCTGGCATGTATAGGTTCGTGCCGTCCTAGCCCCGTCCTCGAATCATATCGTTTCGGCTTCGAGGGATGCAACAGCTATATCGTGGATCCGCACATCGTCGGGCGAGGTGTTTGCACCGACCATGACCTATCATGCCGATGAGAGATACATAAATGCGTTGGCGTGGGTGCCTCCTTCCAAGGAAGCCCCGGAGGGTACGTTTTACTATACTCTTGGTCGCTGCTGCGTGTCGCTGACGGTCAACGTAAGGCCTCGTAGTAACCGGTGGTCAAGAGGCCATCATCAATCTTTTCCCACCTTCATCTGCTGATCCGACATTCTCTCTTCTCGGACATGAAGCAAATGTATGCGCTTTGCACGTAGCGCCTGATGGGACGATCATCTCTGGGTCTTGGGATGCCACAGCGCGAGTGTGGCGTAATTTCCAAGAGGTGTACACATTAAAGGGTCATGCTCAAGCTGTATGGGCTGTATTGGGTCTTGGGAATGACCAGTACCTCACAGGGTCCGCCGACCACAACATTATTCTCTGGCAAGGAAGGAAGCCAGTGCGCACGTACAAAGGTCACAGCGATGCTGTTCGAGGACTTGTGGCTGTTGAAGGCTTGGGTTTCGCGTCTTGCTCGAACGATGCGTGAGTATATTTGTTTGCCATTGGAGTCGCGCTGATCCTCGTCTAGGGAGATTCGCGTGTGGTCCTTGGATGGCGAGTGCCTTCAAACACTTTCTGGGCACACTTCTTTCGTCTACGCGCTCGCTACGACGTCTTCTGGCTTGCTGTTGTCTTCATCGGAGGATAGGTCAGTGCGAGTATGGCGTAGTGAGTTACATCGGCTTTTAGGCTGCTTCGTGTTGATGTTTGTAGATGGAAAGTGCATACAGACGATTGTGCATCCGGCAATCTCAGTCTGGTCTGTTGCAGCGATGTCGAACGGGGACTTCGTTACCGGAGCAAGTGATGGAGTCGTGCGAATATTTAGCGAAGAATCGGAAAGGTGGGCGTCGGAAGAAGTCCTTGAGGTAAGCATTGGGTGTGCCAATAAAATGAGGTACCCTGACACGTGCAGACGTATGAAGCCGCGGTTCAAAATCAAGCAGTGCCATCGTGAGACGCGTATACTTGAAGCTACCAAGTATGCTGAAAGAAGATCAGGCAACAGGTTGGCGATATAAATAAGACAGACCTTCCTGGTCCCGAAGCGTTGAATCAGCCAGGTAGCAAAGAGGGCCACGTGATCATGATCCGTCAAGGCGGAACTGTGGAAGCCCATCAGTGGTCGAATGCGAGCCGATCATGGGAGAAGATAGGTGAGGTAGTCGATGCGGTCGGGAGTGCTCGAAAGCAGCTCTATAACGGAAAGGAATATGACTACGTATTTGATGTCGATGTTCAGGAAGGCGCGCCACCATTGAAGTTGCCCTATAACGCTAATGGTATGGGGTCTATGTATTCTGAGTTGCATGACTGAGCTTCTACCCAGAGAACCCCTACGCGGCGGCTCAACGTTTCTTGGCCCAGAACGACTTGCCACCAGAGTACATCGATCAGGTCGTTCAGTTCATTGAGAAGAACACGGCCGGTGTAAAGATCGGGTCCAGCGACGAATTTCAAGATCCCTTCACTGGTCCGCATCCCCTTCCCATTTTGCCAACCGCTACTCAATGTATGCCAGGCGGTGGGCGTTACAGACCAAGTCAGGAGATACATGCGGCCGCTGGGGGAACCTATGCTGATCCTTTCACCGGTATGGCAATTTCAAGCCATGTTGCCACAATCTAAGTGACTTCCAAGGGGCTGGTGGGTATCATCCTCCGAGTTCCCAGCAGCCGTCTCTGCCAAGCGCACCCTCCCAATATATGGATCCGTTCACTGGTAATTACCATCTTCCATGCGCACGCCGATCTCTGAATTCGCTGCATAGGATCCTCTGCATACTCCACGACTCGTGCTCCGCAGCCGCCCAGTATTCTGCCCATAGTGAGCCTACCGCTCAATGGAATGACAATCACATTCATGTACCCTTATTATGCCAGCGCACACCGTTGACATTCAAGCAAGCGAATATCCCCGCAGTGCGCAGCAAAATCCGTCAGCTGAACGACGCCATCAAGGACTCGGTGCGATTATTACACAGCCCTATACCCGCTTTGCTCATATGTTGACAGGAGGTTTCCCGTTTGACGGTTGATGAATTGGCCCGTATGAACGCCGTATTAGATTTTCTTTCGCCTGCTCGTATTTCCGGATCTTTACCATCAGCCGATGTTGATTTGTTGCTCAAAGTGGCTTCGCAATGGCCAGAGGGATCACGGTTTCCACGTATGTCATTCATTTGACGATGGCTCCCCATTTCATTCCGGTGTCGCAGTGGTCGACATCCTTCGACTTGTCTGTGCTCAGTCGCCAGCGTCGGTTGGTTCTCCGTCTGCATTCGTTCAACACCTCCTAGACGCTGTGCAATGGGATGAACAAATTGTGGGAAACAAAGCACGAGAAACTAATTGTATGCTAGCTCTTCGAGCAATAGCGAATCTTAATGGGAAGGATGGTGGAGCACAGGCGAGTTTCTCTCTTAATTGATGGATAACATCTCATCAAACGCAGACATGGGAACGTTTACGCGCCGTGGAATATTCCATATTCAACAAGAACCAACGGACCGCGTTGGCGACGGTCACCATCAAGTACATTCCTTTGACATGTGGCTATAGTAACACTCACCTCAAGATAGTGCTTCTTGTGAGCTACTGCGAGCAAAGGCGTCCGGGGAGATCTCCATCCTTCTGCAACTGATTTCCAAGGTATTTTCACCACTTTGCTCTGTGGTTTTGCCCTCTGACATCAACAGATCTTGATGTCGGAGGAGACAGACAGTGAAACAGTATATAGGGCTGTTGTCGCGGCCGGAAATCTGGTAACTGCTTCATCGTGCCGGATATTGCTCGTCAACTGAACCGTTGCAGTTCACACTGCCGGAATTGGATGCCGACGTGGCACAAACCGTGAAGATGATCACATCAACAGCCGCAGGAAGGTTTAATGAAGAGAGACTGAGGACCGTGTCTGCAGAGATTAAAGCAAAGTAGATTGTGCGATGTATAAATCAGAATGCGAGATGGTTGTCATGTATAATGCGCACGAGATCAATGACAACGAAGTTGCTGGCATGTTCCACAACATGTGGTAGTGGCTGTGTTAAAAGTTGAACGCGTCTCAAAACCTTCTAGCATGTTCCCTGAGCCTTTGACTTTTAAACGGCGGACGATTTGAACCCGTCCTGCGCTCACTCTTTCTGCTCACTCCATTTTTTCTCTCTTCCATTTCCTCTCCCATACGTCCACCTTCTTCAATCACAAAATGTCCTCTGCAGAAGAGTTTGGATTCCAGGCCGAGATCGGTCAACTCCTGGACCTTATCGTCAACACTTTTTACTCCAATAAGGAGATTTTCCTCCGCGAGCTCATCTCGAACGCCTCGGACGCGCTCGACAAGGTGCGCTATGCCGCGCTGACAGACCCCTCCCAGCTCGATTCGGGCAAGGAGCTTTTCATCCGCATCATTCCCGATAAGGAGAACAAGACCCTCTCCATCCGCGATACCGGCATCGGCATGACCAAGGCTGATCTGGTCAACAACCTGGGTACCATCGCCAAGTCTGGTACCAAGGCGTTCATGGAGGCGATGTCTGCTGGTGCCGACGTTTCCTGCATCGGTCAGTTCGGTGTGGGCTTCTACTCCGCTTATCTCGTCGCCGAGCGTGTGCAAGTCATCACCAAACACAACGACGACGAGCAGTACATCTGGGAGTCTGCGGCTGGCGGCACTTTCACTATTACCCACGATACCATCAACCCCCCCCTTGGCCGTGGCAGCGAGATCAAGCTGTATCTCAAGGAGGATCAACTGGAGTACCTGGAGGAGAAGCGCATCAAGGACGTCGTGAAGAAGCACTCTGAATTCATCTCCTACCCCATCCAGCTCGCTGTCACCAAGGAGGTCGAGAAGGAGGTTGAGGACGACGAGGAGGCCAAGGAGGACGAGGCCAAGATCGAAGAGGTCGAAGATGAGGATAAAGAAAAGAAGACCAAGAAGGTCAAGGAGACAGTCGTTGAGAACGAAGAGCTGAACAAGACGAAGCCGATCTGGACCCGCAACCCCTCTGAGATCAAGGAGGACGAATACAATGCGTTTTACAAGAGCTTGACTAACGATTGGGAAGATCCCCTCGCCCACAAGCACTTCTCCGTCGAGGGCCAGCTCGAATTCAAGGCCATCTTGTTCGTTCCCAAGCGTGCGCCCTTCGATCTCTTCGAGACCAAGAAGAAGCGCAACAACATCAAGCTCTACGTCCGCCGTGTGTTCATCATGGATGACTGCGAGGACATTATTCCCGAGTACCTCAACTTCGTCAAGGGAATTGTCGACTCTGAAGATTTGCCGCTGAACATCTCTCGTGAGACCCTTCAGCAAAACAAGATCTTGAAGGTGATCCGCAAGAACTTGGTCAAGAAGTGCATGGATTTGTTCAACGAGATCGCCGAGGACAAGGACAACTTCAACAAGTTCTACGAGGCTTTCTCGAAGAATCTCAAGCTCGGCATTCACGAGGACAGCCAGAACCGGTCGAAGCTGGCCGAGTTCCTCCGTTTCTACTCCACGAAGTCCGGCGAGGAGATGACATCCTTCAAGGATTACATCACGCGCATGCCAGAAGTACAGAAGTCAATTTACTATCTTACTGGCGAGTCCCTTCCTGCTGTCCGTGACTCTCCCTTCCTGGAGGTCCTCAAGAAGAAGGGCTTCGAGGTCCTTCTGCTCGTCGACCCCATCGACGAGTATGCCGTCACCCAGCTCAAGGAGTTTGAGGGGAAGAAGCTGGTCTGTGTGTCCAAGGAGGGTCTTGAGCTTGAGGAGACTGAGCAGGAGAAGACGGAACGTGAAGACGAGGCGAAACAGTTCGATGATCTCTGCAAGTCGATCAAGGAGGCCCTCGGCGACAAGGTCGAGAAGGTTGTCGTCTCCAACCGTATCGTCGACTCCCCTTGTGTTCTCGTTACCGGCCAGTTCGGCTGGTCTTCGAACATGGAGCGTATCATGAAGGCGCAAGCGCTCCGTGATGCGTCTATGTCGTCGTACATGGCGAGCAAAAAGACTCTGGAGCTTAACCCGCACAACCCCATCATCAAGGAGCTGAAGACGAAGGTCGCTGCGGACAAGAACGACAAGACTGTCCGCGACCTGACTTACCTGCTCTATGAGACTGCCCTCCTTACCTCTGGCTTTGTCCTTGACGAGCCGTCGAGTTTCGCCAAGCGTATTCATAGGATGATATCGCTCGGCCTGGATGTGGATGAAGATGAGACGCCTGCGGCGGTCCCCGAAGCTAAGGAGGAGGTGCCTGCGCAGGAGGCAACATCCGCCTCCGCTATGGAGGACATCGACTAAAAGATGTTGCTCGTATACGTCTACTTGCGGGCTAATCGCTTTCTCTGACATTTCATGTGTTTCCATACCTCGTCTCTCTTTTCGGTCACGTTTGCATGCACACACTAGCGTAGTTACCATTACATGCACTTGATTCATGAGCCAAATCTGCCCCGGATGGCAGCAAGAGAAGTCGACAGATCATCAACCCTCCACATTGTTTGCTGGCATTAGTTTGTCGACGTATTTTACCTGAAATAGACATCGGCTTTCGTTGTGAAGGAAAACTTTTGAGTTCGCTGTTGCAATCCCTGAAGCATTTAGGTGACTCGGTCTATCTTATTCACCGCGCCAAATATCTTAACTAAATCCATCGTACACTCTCTCCTCCAGCCGCGCCCTTATCTTCACAACACTATCATGTCCCTCGAGCGTACACAGGTAATCAACTTCAACTCTGGACCTTGTGCCCTCCCCACGTCGGTCTTGGAAGAAGCTGCCAAGGGTCTGCTCAACTACAAAGGGACGGGCATTGGCCTTGCTGAGCTGTCCCATCGCAGCGGGTACTTTGGACAAATCGTCAACGAGCTCGCAGGCCTTATTCGAAAGCAACTAGAGGTACCCTCGACGCATGAAATCATTTTCACGCAAGGCGGCGCAACGGGCCAGTTTTCCGCAGTGGTCCTCAACCTCCTTGCCCGCCACCGCCTTCTGCACCCCAACCTAGCCGAGGAGGAGCGGTACATGGACTATGTTGTAACTGGGAACTGGAGCAAGAAGGCATCGGAAGAGGCCAGGCGACTTGGAGGCGGCGTAGTGAATATCGTCACCGACGCACGGACGGTTAGCGAGGACCACAAGACCTTTGCGTCTATCCCCCCGCACTCGGGTTTCAAGTTCTCACAGAATCCTGCCTTCATCTACTACTGCGAGAATGAAACGGTCGACGGTGTCCAATTCTCGACTGACCCCGAGTCGCCAGCCCGCTTCCCCTGGGAGCTCCTCAAGGAACAGGATTTCGTACCTGTCGTCGGGGACTACTCGTCCTCCTTCCTCTCCCGCCCTATTCCCAACCTGGACAGACATGCCCTGGTCTATGCCGGCGCCCAGAAGAACCTTGGTCCTGCAGGCTTGACTGTGCTGATTGTGCGCAAGGACTGTCTGGTCGATACGGATGCCGCGGCAAAGCTCGGTGCACAACCTGTGCCTATCACGATGGACTGGAAGGTCATCCAGTCGCACAACAGTCTGTACAACACCCCACCGATGTTTTCCATGTACATCGCCCAACTCATGCTGGAGCACACGGAGGCGATGGGCGGGATGCCGGCCATCACCCACATGAACGAAAAGAAGAAGGACATGCTTTACGAGGTGCTCGACGAGGGCGCAGCCAAAGGGCTGTTCAGGTTGCGGGTGGAAAAGGGCAGCAGGAGCTGGATGAACCAGACATTCCATGTCCTCGGTGACGGCAAGGAAAAGCTGTTCTTGGAGCAGGCCGAAAGTGCAGGGTTGAAGGCGTTGGCTGGACACAGGTTTGTTTGTTTTTACATTACCGTTTCCAGCTGTTTAACACATTTGTACAGACAGGTTGGAGGTGTGCGGATCTCTTTGTACAACGCTATCAACGAGGAGCAGACGGGCATCCTGGTGAAATTCATCCGGAAGTTCATCGAGGAGAACTCGGCGTAGAGGATTGCGGACTGGTGTTAATATGTAATGAACGCACACAATAAACCAATTATATTGCAGAAAGGTAGTTATGCGCCGGCAGTGGTGAGCAGCAACTCGATATACCAGTTCGAGCGTTCCCACCCCTCCTGCACTATCCGTAGACCGTTTGACTCACTGCTATCCTCACCCTGCAATATATGTAATCCGAGGCACTTTGCCGCTTCTCGGACCAAGTCTCCAAGTTCATCCTTAGTGAACAGATGATAGTATCGCTGGTGCAGCTCCGTCTCCGTCTCCGTCTCCGTCCCCGCCCCATTCGCCCTCTGGACTGCTGCCTTCTTCCAGGGGACGAAGACGTCCTGCACCTTTTCGCCCGCCTTCTCCGGATCAACCGGTACGATTCTCTTGCTCAGTTCGTCCTGTTCCGTGGCCCAGACGTATATGAGCACGCGCCCATCTGACGATGAGACGGCTTGCAGTAGAGCTTGCACAGCTTGTCTTCGCCTTTCCAACGTGCATAAGTGGTGTATCGTCGCAATTGAAATCGCAAAATCCTGTGCATGGCGATGTAGCTTGAGATTTGTCTGGGATTCTTAAAAACTCACAAAAGCGCCGGGACGCCAGCAGACATTCATGACATCCCCCCTCACTACATGCCTCTCCTTCCCTCCTGCCCATTGTGCATGCGCAAGCAATCCCAGGCTCCTATCAAGACCAACAAGCATAATTTTCCCTCCCTGATCGAGGGGGAGATATTTCCCATTACCGCAGCCTGAGTCGAGGCCTATGCTGCCTGGGGCAAGAGAGGCGAGGAATGCGGCAATGATGGGCCACGGTTTATACCGCGTTTGAGAGAAGTGATCTGCAATGCTATCGTAGACGGCGTGTACGTAGGTGGATTCGTGTAAAGCTGGGTCTCTGTGTAGTGCCTCTAATTGAGAAGTGTTATGGGGAGCGAGCGCCATGTCTGTGGTGGTTGTTATGACATTCTGTGGAAGTTTGTCCCTCGCCGCCGGTCCGGCCCTCCACTTCCGCATCCACCACCACCCACCACCGAAAATAAGTGAAAATGTATTGCTGGCAGTCAACATCGCTCTCCTCTGAACTGTCTAGCTCCCCATCACCATGTCCATCGACGCTGTAATTGCTGCATTACCCTTCAGCCCTATCCCGGAAGGGGAGTCCTACTGCGAGGTCACTCCACTGGTTAATGCCATCCTCACCATTCCCGAGGCACAAATCATCACGCCCTCGTCTTCAGCAACCGCCTTGTACAGGGCGCCCACCTTCTCGTTCTACGTCAAGCATGAGCCGAGCGGCAAAACCCTTTTCTTCGACCTCGGTATTCGCTACGATTGGGAAACGGGGTTCGCGGAAGACCTGAGGAACTTCATAAAGCCTGCCCCGCCTGTAATGGTTGGAGACGTGGGTGCATTGCTCAAAGAAGGAGGAGCAAACCCGGAGGATGTTTCTGGAGTCATTATCAGGCACGCTCAGGTCATGATTTGTTGTTGAACGCATACTTACGTGCGAGTTTGTACAGTCATCGTCACTGGGACCATACGGGCAACATCGGTTCGTAAACATTGGAATGTGCCTGATGCCGTAGATTCTAACGACAATGTAGCGCCGTTCCCCAAGGCTGAGGTTGTAGGCGGCATTGACACGTTTAATGCTGACCTGGGTCGCCAGACGGCCGGTCGGCAGACGCTCGTCCTGGATTGGTCCAGGGTCAAGAGCAGCAAGATCGGGTCTTTCGATCATGCGTACGACTACTTTGGTGATGGAAGTATCTGGCTATGCGACTCTGCTGGGCACACCGCAGGGCACCTGTCAGCTCTGGTCCGCACGACTCCTTCACCGAACGCGACATACGTGCTCCTCTCGGGTGACACGTGCCATCACCCGTTCCTCATCTCACCCACAACCCACAATTTCCGTCTAGCGACTTACCCTGCCCGCGGTGGGAGCGATAACCCTCGTAAGCATCCTGGGCTGCCCCCGCCTTGCTGCATGCACTCGGATATGGAACGGGCGTGGGACACTGTCTGCCGCACGCGCCGCATGGAGGCGGAGGACAATGTCATGGTAGTGCTTGGGCATGACTATGTGTATTGGAGGGAGTGGCGGGATAACTTGAACAGACTCTGGCCGAACAAGGCGGGCATTCACGGCTGGAAGAAGGACGGTCTAAAGATGGAACGGAAATACGAGCCCGAGAAGTATGATATTCAATAGGGAGCTAACAACCCTGCATTCAGGGCAATTTCGAGGGTTGATAGGGAACCGATGAGCATACGTCAATGAAGATGCTGTGATTTTGAATATTCTGTTGTCATGATACACATTTATCAGCAATAAGGGGGACTGCATGTCGCCGATCCCCAACTCGCATATCAGTCGATTTGGCAGCAGCATCACACTGGTGAAAAGAGAAGCTTCTCAATGGATGAAGCAAGACTGGTCAGAGTTGTGCATAGCGTTGGCGATCTCACCCCTCTTTCCTGCAAAACCGCCATTCCACCCTTCGTCACAGAGTACCAATTTTCCTCGTGAGCGGGAGCCCTTGTGCAACTGTTGGTCATCATGCGCGGGAGAGGCACCGCGCTTGACAAATGTTATTACACCTGATAATCCGACTCCTATAACCGGATGATAGACGTATTCTGAGGCGCTTGACAAATATTATTACACCTGACAATGCGACTCCCATAACCGGATGATAGACGTATTCTGAGGATTACGAGTCACGATAGAGCACGGCTGATGGCATGAGCCATGACGCTAGATTTATCAGTAAGCATCGTTACGAAGAGCACAATTAACAATACTGACTCATGTACAAACCACAACGGGTGCAGCGTGTTCAACCAGAAGTATGTTGACACTGGCTCGCACCCAGCAACCTGGTATGTCGTGGTCGGCGTACCGTTGGCATAGTCACCGCAGTAGCCTGTGATGTTGGAGAACAAGAACACCCCAGCGTTGTCAAGTAGGGTGTTGAAAAGGGTGTTGGTGTCATACACCACAACGGAGCCGAGGTCGGGGTAGAGGTACTGCATAGCGTTGATGCGGTTCATGAGATAGGTGTTGTACAGTGAGATAGCCGACTGGACAGCCATAGCCGTTGCATTACCTTGAGCGAGGAACAGCGGAGCCCGGTCAATGGGGGGCACCTATGAAAAATCGTAAGCCAAATATGTAAAGAAAAATAGAGTTTCTTGACATTCAAAAACAGGAAATTCCGAGCGCCCCGCTCGTAGAGGTTGTTGACCTGCTGAAAGTATCTGTCCATCAGGAGGCTGAAGAAGACTGGTTGAGACTGGTTGAGGTTGTTCGTCTGCCACGCATTGCCGACGTCGTTGATCTAGGGAAAGATCGTGAATCCCGGTCCGTCTCATTAACAAATAGAGTTGCGTACACCAATGAAAACGGTGAAGAGGGTGTTGTTACTGGTCCAGGGTACAACGCTTGGAGGAGGGCTGAAGTATTGGTCCCACAGCGAGACTTGCTCCACAAAAGACTGTACAGTGGGCAGGTATGGGGTGACCAAGTACGAGTCCGTCGTGGCACCACCATATGCGAGGTTGTATACTTTCGTGTACGTAACATTGTATGTTCCTCGTAGGTACTGCACCCAATTGAGCCCATCAGAAGCTGTATAGCCTGGGTCGGGGGAGGTGATCCCAGCTGAAACGTTGTATCCCGTCGTGCTGTAAGAATCGCCAAACACGAACATATACTGTCTAAGAAAGAGGCGTCAAAACATAGCTCACAGTACAGCAGGGCAACATACGTATTGTTCCATGTCAACCCATGAGCAAAGGGCAAGAGTGTCAAAAAGACTATGGGGAACAGCATCCTTCAGAGCAGCTTGACACTTTCCTCCAACGACTATCGCTAGCGAGACAGTCTTATACCATATTAAAGAGCAACTCCACATGAATTATGCACTATTCCTAGTCTTCCGCTTGCACTGCGACATTCCCAAATCACACCCATTCGGCGAGAGACCCGGTAATAGCAACTCGAACTTCCAATAATCTCAGGAGAAAGTTCGACATTGTACAGCACGTTGAGATCCTTTCCGATATCTCCCGTTCACTCAAATGTTCAGGCACTACTATCCCGAGGGCTAAGCAGAGTGACAGGGCACATTTGAGAGCACTCTTGATGTCAGATAAATCTCCGATTGACGGGGCCTCTTAGAGCACAACCAATCGGAGAGTAATCCGCCAAACAGTCCGGGAGAAGCATTCACAGATAATGTTGCCTGAGAAAGAATCACAGCGGCATAATGTGGGTAAAATGATATATCTCGAGTTAACGTGACAGCACTGAAGAGGAGCACAAGCTAAATGTCTGGAATCAACCCGTACGATCGGACGCGATCGAAGTCAAGTCCGTTCTCCGACAAGGGACAATTACGTCTCCCTCTTCCCGTGGTCATCTTCCTCCCCTATTCAGCACCTGTATTACCGCAGTCATGATATCGGCATGTCTACTTTAACATTCAAACAAGGTCATGCATGGCTGACATCCTATCAGGGCTTCTTCATCTTCAACCAAAAGGGCGAGGTGCTCATCTCTCGATTATATCGCACAGATCTCAAGTGAGTCTCTCGTTAGCTCTCCTCTGTCCTTGACTGACTGTATAACTAGGCGATCTGTAGCGGACGTCTTTCGCGTACAGGTAGTGTCGAACACTGACGTCCGATCACCGATTATCACCCTTGGATCAACATCGTTCTTTCATGTACGGGTCGCTAACGTATATGTCCTGGCGGTTACCAAGTGCGCAATTCCATTTATAAACACGAGAGCATGCCAGCTGAAGTACGCCCAGATGCAATACAAATGCTGCACTTGTGTTTGAGTTTATCTACCGGTTCATCTCAATTGCAAAGTCCTACTTTGGCAAGCTCGACGAAGAGGCAGTCAAGAACAACTTCGTAATGATCTACGAGCTGATTGATGGTGCGTCGAACATTTCACTGATGCCGTTTTAAGCTGATCCGTCTGCGTAGAGATTCTAGACTTTGGATATCCACAAAATAGCGAGATTGAAACTCTGAAGCACTACATTACTTCGGAGAGCGTGAGGTCTGAGACCGCACTGGTCCGCATATACGCATCTTCAGGGGGTCCAATGCTGAGACAGCTTGCAGAGAGACGACTCCAAAATTGCTGCACAGACGACAGGGTCCACATCATGGCGGCGAACAGGCATTCGATACAAGAAAAATGAGGCGTTTGTGGATGTTGTCGAAGTGGTTCACTTGTTGATGAGTGCGAGCGGTGCGTCATGGTTGTCAGAAATTCAACATGAAACTAACGTCATTCTGAAGGGACCGTACTTAGAGCAGACGTGACCGGACAGGTGCTCATGCGTGCCTACCTGACTGGCATGCCGGAATGCAAGTTTGGGCTTAACGACAAGGTTGTTCTGCAGAACGCACGACGAGCAGAAGGCGAGACGTACGAAGCGGGGACAGTGGAGCTCGAGGATGCGCAGTTCCACCAATGTGTGCGATTGAACATGTTCGACACCGACCGCAGCATCACGTTCATCCCGCCAGATGGCGAGTTCGAACTGATGCGGTACCGTGCAGAGAGCAGTGTACACCTTCCGCTGCGCATACAACCCATCGTTACGGAGGTTGGGAAAACCCACGTCGACTATACCATTGCGGTCAAGGCCAATTTCAACACCAAGCTCAGCGCAACGGAGGTGGTCATTCGAATACCGACACCGTTGAACACGACACAGGTCGACTGTAAAAGCCCGGCCGGAAAAGCGAAGTATGTCCCGGCCGAGAACCTCATCCGATGGCAGTACGTGCTTTCTCTTGCAATCGGCATTGTGGTCCTGACAAGAATCACAGAATACCACGTATTCAAGGAGGCAGTGAAGTGACGCTTAGCGCAACCGCTTCACTCACGCAGACCACGGACCGCAAGCCGTGGCAGCGGCCACCGATCGATGTCGACTTCCAAGTACTCATGTTTACAGCTTCTGGTCTATTAGTGCGGTACCTGAAAGTGTATGAAAAGAGCGGATACAACAGCGTCAAGTGGGTCCGATATTTGACAAAGGCGAACGGGAGTTATCAGATCAGGGTGCGTTTATCTCTCGTACTGTAGATAAGAATGTGCTCATGGATGTTGTAGTTCTGAGGTCGGAGCTCGATGTGTTTGTCATCCATTGTATGTATTTAGTGTAGTAAATGACGAACGGTCTTGCGCTTGCACAAACGTGCTCCTTGGTGAAATGAATTCATGGCCGTCATGTGGCACAGTCCTGCTTATAGAGGAGAACAACAGAGTGTATCCTTGTTCAATTGTGTATACTGGTGCTCGCCCGAGGTCGCCGTGCTCAACAGTAAGCGCGATATATATCTATCCTGAACACTGCTGCAAGATTTATGCTTTTATTATCGAGTGAATTGGGTGAGTCGCTTCCTTTCATTCACACGGAAGTTTCTGTTCACGCACGGGACAAAGAAATCTATCAGAACGGCGGTTCCATTCATTGGTTCTCTACTCAAACAAAAGGACAATAAAGGACTGGCAGTCACAACATCTGAATTAATCTCGGAAAGTTCAGTCTTCTCCCCCTGACCCATGGCCTTAATAAACCTTCGCTGGCATGGCTCGCTTATTGTAATCCGTTCTCGTGCCAGTACTTACTCAGGCTACCGGGTAAAACGGGGTGAACTGAACTGACCCGTCAACCGCACTCTCTTTTGTTTCCAACCTTCGTCACTCTCTATATCCACCCTCGCTTGTGCTCCGTCCTTGATAGCGCGCCTTCCCTTGGCCGTCAACCCTGAAGCATCATGATGCTTGTGTTTTCTGCTCTCCTCGTCTTCCTGCTCGCAGCCATCGCACAATGCATGTACATGCCCATCTCATCCAACCCAAGGACTGTGACGACTATTACCCCGCTTGGGCCTGCGATTGGCACTGTCACGGCCGCGGGGGCCGTCAAGTACGTTGTGCGGTATGCGAGCACGCCCATGCGTTGGGGTGCCCCGGTTGTCGAGAAGGTCTTCCTGGCTGCGTGCGTCCCCTCCCTCTGCGAAGGAAAACGTCCACTGACAGACCCATAGAAATATCTCAGACCCGTCGGCGTTGCCTCCTGTATGCCCCCAAAATGGTTACTCTCCTGGGCAGTACAGCGAAGACTGTCTCTTCATGGTCCTCTACGTCCCGCCCAACACGCGGCCATCCGCCTCCCTCCCCATGCTTATGTGGGTAGTACGTACTGTTCCCCTTCAACACGCGTCTCGTATCTGAAGGATTTGCAGCACGGCGGAACAAACATAATGGGCTCTGCCTCCAATCCCGGGCTTGACGGCTCCAACCTTGCGATAGCAACACAATCGATCGTGGCAGTCGTGCAATACCGACTCGGCGTCCTAGGTTTCGTGCCTCCATCAACCGTCGGGGCCGTGACCAACCCCGCACTGCGCGACCTCATCGCTGCACTGCAATTCCTGCACACCATTGGCCCCTCACTCGGCGGGTCTACGGCACGCGTCACCCTCGCTGGGCAGTCTTCTGGTGCTGGGCTGATCCGCGCTCTCCTCGGCACCCCTAGCGCAAGCCAGTACTTTACCCGGGCATGGCTGCACAGCGATCCGATGAACTATGGCCTCCTCCCACCGGCCTCGCTCGTCCCGTATCAGCAGGTGACATACGCTAACATCTCCTCACCGCTGACGGCAAGCGTGGACGACCTCTTGGCAACCTATGATAACGCGCTGAATGACCTTGAGCAGCCGTTTGACCTCGCTGGCCTGGAGGGTCCCCGCCCGGTGGTAGATGGCCAGCTCGTGCAGTACTGGATGCAACCATTCAGCACGTCCTACGCGCCTGCATCCCAGCTTCTCCCTAACAACCTCAAAGCGCTGGTCCTGACGACCACCTCTGCTGAAGCTGGTCCTGCCGACTATGCCGACCCTGCGTTTGCCCAACCCCTACCTTATGTGGCATTCCTTCCTATTCTCGAGAGTGTGCTGGGCGAACCGCGTGCTGGGGCTGTGGCGAACAGTAGCTACTATGCGGATCCCAGTGCCGCGAATGATCCTACTGGAGGGGATATTCGGAACTTGAGCGTAAAGGTTGGCACGGATCAAGTTTGGCGCTGTGAGTCTTTTTCTGTCTTCTCAAGTTGTTCTGTAGCTAATGGGCGTGAACAGGCTCAAATTACGCCTTTGCACGTGCATACTCGGCGCGGGGAGCGAAGGTCTACGTGGGCGAGTTCCAATCCGGTGCGCTCTCTACCCGGACAATACGCAGCCCCCTGCCGTAGCTTCCTTCTGTACCGACACGAGCAGCACCGTCTGCCACGAAGACGACATCTATCCCGTTTTCGGTACAACACCTAGTGCGAACGGAGCGCAGAACGCACTTACGCGAGAGGTGCAGCAGAGGTACGCGCAATGGCTCTTGAACGGCGTGCCAGGAGGGGACTGGAGGGGGGTTCAGGGGAACGATGTCAGCGCAAGGATCCTAGGAGGCCCACAGGATGCCGGGGTTGTTGCCGCTGGCGCGTGTGATCCAGCGTTTTGGGGACAAAGCGTAAACTTCGATTATCAGGTTTTTACTTCGTGATTTGTGAACGAACGACACTATTCTTTCGGGGTCATAATACTTTGTCTGCTGGTGATGACGGTCTTGACAATGTCTCGCACTGAGTCACAGCAGCCGATAACCAATCACCTCGGGTTAGTCTT